TTGTGAAAAAATGCTGACAAAAAGAAAAAAAGCAATTTTCAAAATGTACCTAATTTGAAGACATAAGTGCACCAGGTGCCGAGAGACTTATTTACCGATTTATCAAGGCATGCTACAAATATATATATATGCGCAGGCATCTAAACCGCATGTAAACAAAACAGATGATTTTTTCACGGTTATAGAACTAGTTTCTACGGAGTATTCTTGTACATAATATTATCCTAATACTTTTTTTATACGGATGGTGGTCATGATTTTTTTCTGGTAACAAATAGCATTGCGTCATTTTCATTGGTCGAACTGAGTAACCTGCTGACGCCGTATTCATGCCAAGGGTAACTTCAGCCGATTTCTGTTCAGCTGATTTGCATTTTATTTGTAAAAACTAAATACTATAAATTTAAAAGGTATGAATTTAAGTTGCAAATTTAAACATAGTTGATAAATTTCACGCCAGGAATATCCACTGTGTCTTTTTGTATATACAAGATATTTTTAGAGGTGATAAACTGATAATTCCCCGCAATGGTTTAAAAAACTCGTCCGTAATTTTTCGGGCAATAAAGTTTCTTCTTGGGTGTAATTTTCCAGTAAAGAAATAAATTTCGCCTATTATTATCAACATTGATTTGTATATGAAAAATGCATTTTCTTTCTGCATAAAATAGATGTGTGTACACTATAATGGGTTATAAACAAATTATTTTAAGGTATTTATGAACAGTCGAAATTAACCAGGTGGTCGAAGTTACACTCGTCTGTGACCATCCTAACCTATATCCTGACGTTAAAAAAAAGTCTTGTATCTATGTAACTAAATTACTGCATAGTTACACCATTTGATAAATAAATACATCAATCAGTGGATAGGTTTGTAACGTAGACCTTCTGATTTTAAATTCATTTATTTACCTCACTCGGCACACCTCGGCTGATTCGTACCTCATCTGGATGAAGGTGACGGAATCAGCCGAGGTTTGCCGAATGTTATTTACCTTCGACCAGCCTTTAAATATTGCAGTATTTTTCTTTGCATCATCATAGGAAATTGACAAGTGCTGTCTACCCTTCAAACGAAATCTGGAGACGTTTTCCGCTTTGAATAATTATGAGATAATATTCATAGCCTAGGGAATGCAAGGTTTTCAGACTTGATTTTTAAGAAGACTGATACTTGGTCATAAAATAAAATTACCATTTTTTAATTGACCATTAATTATAAAACCAAAGTGTGGCATTATTAATATTAGTCATGTCATATTTTGAAAATTTTAGGGGGGGGGGGGCCTGCGCCCCCAAGCCCCACTTAAATCCGCCAGTGGGGGCGGACTTGCAGAATAAGCGAAATACTCCTGACATTTAATAAAAATCTCAAACCCGATCTAAAACGCGTTGACAAACGCGTTTCCAGACGGTTTTAGTTTTTACGGCATTTTTATAGTGATATGAGAAAAGTCGGATAATTGCTGTTAATTTTAAGAAATAAAGTTCGGCATTTTTCAACCTCGTTCGGTATAATATAATTTACTGATAATTTTTTCCGCTAAGGAGGAACACATGGACGAAGGATAAAAAAAGAGGTATTCTGCATGTACATGTACACATCATTGCTATAATTGTGTACTCGGGATTAAACCCAAAATCCTTCGTTACATTGTATTTGGGTATAATTTTCACATGTTCTCAGGCAGATAGTCATTTATTTTTATCTGTCTAAAGACAATAATTTCAGTTAATAGAGAAATGTTTTTATTTCGTCGTTTTTTTCCCATCCTTTTGGTTTACACGTTTGCTTGTACACAAAAGCGTGTGTTCATATACTGCTGTTTCTACACGCTATCAATGTGATCAGGGAGAACATGATATCCTCCAGCAATTTACTTCTTATGAAAACACTCAATGAAAACATATTAGGTGAAAATATATACACCCATTAGTATCTTAGTACCTTAGTATCGACCTGTTTAATTGCAATGTCACCAACCGTAACGATAGCTGGCCAGGATTTGAATATAATTTATTACTGTTATTAAAACAACTCGTCAGCTGAGTGGACCTATGATTTAAACAGTAAAATGGGGAAATTCCAGAGTTCGAAGTGTATTTATTTTGGGCGCTCTTCCGCACAAACAAATTAAATCGCATTTACGCGTACTTACATGCATGTACCAATAATTTGTGTCATGGGTAAATTCAATTTATTAGATGAAATAAAACAAATGCATAAGATTAATCTTCCTAAACAAAGCGTTTTTAAAACAATCTATCTGATATAACTGACGGTATAAAATAACAAAGAAAATAAAGGGTTTGTGTTTGTATTTAATTTGGAATGAGAACAAATCTTAACCTGTCAAATAACTTATAAAACATACTTCGTTTTCCAGACACTAATTGCCATGCGTAATCTTCACATGCACGGACCAAGAGGTCACAAGTTTGAAATGTATCCATGCTTCTCATTGCGTGAGTTTTGTCAACACATGTCGGAGTAGACTATCTAAGCCAATTGATTCCCAAAGAAAACTGCATAGGAAGGGTTCTTTTTTGGTACACTTTTTAACTGGTAAAATTCATTCGACGCTCGATAGAATTTTCAAATACAAGTGAAATATTGAGGCGGTTAAGTTACATGCGTCCGACCTAGTATTTTGTATGCAATAATATTGTAAGTTAGGAAGAAAATAATACAAACTCAAAAGTACTTAATTTTATTTTCGATTTTCCTGACGATTAAAAATGTGACCTCTACATACAATTATCGTTTTTAATTATATACATCCTGTTTAATGTTCATGAAAGAAATAGCAACTCGTTAAATAATAAAATATATAAGAGAGATAAATAAACTGTTTCTTTAATACGCAAACAAAGTGGTCTTTTCGGCATTCAAAATGCATTGAATTTGAAGTGAATAAGTGAAAGGCACTTAAGACTAGCTGATTAAAACGAGCGAGTGATAATTAAACAGTAAGACGGAATCATATGAAAGATTCGAAATGATTTTAAAGTAATTTTCCACAAAGCGCAATTATCTCAACAATGCAATGTTTATAAGAATAAATATGCAACTTTCTTGTAATTGAGCGAATAAAATATAAATCGAAATGTACTAGCAACTTAATCAAAGATATGAAATAATCTGAAAGATTAAACATATTTATCCACTTATCACTTAGTTAAAATGTATTTGGAATGGCCATTCTATGGTTTGTTTTGTGTATGACCTTAGGTCGCTGGTTCACACGCCGATTGATCCTCGGTGACCTCCTTTGCCACGCACTATCGAAGGAGGGGTTACATAATTGTAAACACATTAGGTGAATGTAAAAGGCGTGTACTTAATGGCTGTGAATAGTCTATGTTTAAAGTTTTGTTTTATTTTCTAACTTTATTGTTTGTTTTTATATGATAAGAAGAAAAGGTTATCTTTTTTTCCCTGTTTAGTAGATTGGTTTATCCAAATTTGAAAACAAACGAAATTAAAGGGAAAGTTGTCAGTAAATAATTTGGAAATAAAGCACAAAATACTTCAAAAACCTGATTCTAAAGAATATTAGCATCTAATATAGCAAGATTTATTATTTATAGTAAGTTTATTTTAATTACACGCATGAAGAGCTCTTGTTTACTTGCTGAATGAAAACACTTACCTGTATATGTGTTATGCTTCTAGCTCATTTAGAACACAAGACTCAAACAAAATAACATTTTCTTGAGATCAATAAGATGTTAAATAACAACTTTAATTACGGCAGCTATTTCGAAATATTTACCGTTTTTGAGTTATAAAGCAAAAACTTTAAAGGGCCCCAGACCCCTAATTTTAGGGGCCAGACCCTTTTTAGTGGTCTCAAATGAAAGGCCTTAAAATTGTGCACAACTTTTATTCTACATGTTTTATCAAAATATTTTTAGTTTAGAAGATAAAAAGGAAAATATGTGTAAATTTTCGCTCTTTTTGGCGTTCTAATTTTTGATCCCTTTCTAGCGCCATTTTGAATACAGAAATTGAAAAACAAAAACCGATGTGCACAACTTCAGTGCTTCTATTATTTAAATTCGGTAGAATTTCTACTCCAGCTTCAGTAGTCTCTGAGCCTTTGTCTGGAAATGAAGCCTAGAAAATTTTCATTTAAAGGGAGATAACCCAAAAGCGGAAGTGGGTTTTTGAAATGTTTGACAGCATTCTGATAGAATTTTGTAACGTCTTTAAACCCTGCAAATTTGAGCAAAATCCGTTGAGAAATGAGCAAGATATGAGGTCTCAAAGTTGGCGTCTAGGAAAAAAAAAAAAAGAATAATAAGAATAATCTTAACCATCAGAATCAGTAGAAGGTCTTCCGCCTGGAGCGGAAGACCTTAATAAGAGCCTTTTACAATAGTAGATATAATTCTGTTGTACAGTAGCAATGCTTAGTTCTCATATATATATATATTCACGATGATAGAATTACACTTGGTGTAACTAAAAAGCACTGGAATAAGAGATGTCAGTATGGTCAATAGCGATGTTGTGAACACCATACCAAATTGCAGTGCATATATCATTTAATGAATTGGTTAGCAGTGGGAAAAGGTCCACATTAAATTCCAGGTTCAAATGTTAAGGTCAAATTTGGGTAACTATTTAGTAAACAGTGGAAAACAATTCTTATTTGAAGTCAAAGGTTAAAGATTGACCATTAATTATCTACTCTATAAGATGAACTGAATGGCCAGAGAGTGGAATGAGACTGATTTCAGGATTAAATAAGAAGTCAAAAGATTTAGCTATTCTGCTGCTAATTTCCTAGCTAGTTTGACAGTGATGTGATTTGAAGGTCAAAAGTCAAGGATGACTGTTCTGTACAAACTTGATGTATATATTTCAAAAGAATGTTTCATTTGTAGGCCTTGTTCTCAAAATTGCTCTTACAAACAAAAGAAACTGGTGCCATCACTGATAAAAATGGATTTACATCTTTGTATAATATTGGATTATGGGTAATTTTCAGATGATTGTGACAGACTGTATCAATAAGCGTCTTTACTTATCCTCGGATGAGGGTTTGACCTGGAGGCGTGTAGACCTACCTTTCTCCCCGTATACCCTCCTACTCCACCCCTCAGAACCAAGCTGGCTCCTCGGATACTCTTTGTTTGACATGCAGGTAAGCCCAGAAAGGAATTTCACAGATTTCTTCTACTTATCTTTGGTATATTCTTTATTATGTTTGTTATTGTATGGAATATTAAATTTTCTATTAAAAAATTCTTAAAATATGTTCTGGAAAGTGAATGAAAATTTAACCAAAAAAATCTCCATAATTGTTAATTTCAAAAAGATACCCCCATCTACAGGCTTGCTAGTTAAATGAAATTCAAAACCCCAGAATGCATGAATTTTTCCTCTCAGCAAAATTGCTAGGGTTCATCTCCTTGTTTACCGTAGACCTTTTGTTGCTGCTTTTACCTGGTAGTTCACTGTCACTCATACGTTGTTGTCTAAGTGCAGTCAGTACTTATGCTGACATTGCATAACAGATTTCCACGACTTGACACTTATCAAAAAAAAAAACATCTTTCATTTAAAAAATAAAAGATGGCAGATTTGTAAATGGTTCAGGTGAAGTTCAGTCTCTTGGAGAAGGGTTGTTGTCCATAGAGTCATCAGTATAATATTTCATGTGCAAATGTAGACAACTGAATAGTGTATATACGTAAAAAAAAAAAATGCCAAAACATGTGCACACTTTCAAAAATGTCATAATAGCAACATGCTGTTTACTACATCACATCAAAATTAAGAACTATTTTAAATTAAAACACTGCTGTATGCATTCTAATATCTTTGTGAAATGTTAAATTGTTGGATCATTTCAAGACATTAAAAAGACTTAATTTAGATATTGTGGTCTTAAATAATTTCATGTGACATTTTACTGTTTATTTTCTGAAGAGAGTTTACTTATGTTATTTGCTTTGTTTTTGTAATACAGTTATTTGTTAGCAGTAACTTTGGCTCAGACTGGACTCTTCTACAAGAACATGTGATGCAGAACTTCTTCTGGTGAGTTGAACTTCTAGAATAAAGTTGAAAAAACTTGGAAAGAGTGACATTATCCCATATTGTGAATTAAACCCCAAACCGAACTACACTGTAGAACTGCAGTCCCAGTTTTGCATACTAAGGTCCTGAATGCTCAATAAAGTGTATACTTGCATATCCTCCATTTAGATGAGAATTCTCCTTTAAGAATTTCCTCAATCATCTTAACTTTGGCTGCATGAAATGATTAGTTCCAGCTGATATATCTTTTCTTCATACAAGCATATGATTACTTTGACATAAGATGGCACTGTGTAGAGATTTTATTGGAAATATAACCCTTTTTAAATGATACTTTGATCGAGCAGGTGTCAAGTATGAAAAATTATGTAAGATTTTTTTTTTCTTTCATTGATTCTTTTGTAGAATTTAGTGACATTTAAAATTGTTATGAATAAGGCATTCAGAATCATGGAAATGCTAATTTGTGATTACATCAGTCTGTTGTAGTTAACTTGAACGGGGATCTAAAACTACATAAATGCCTAGTTATTGTTGTCCTTTCTGGAATTATGTAACATCTGGCAGAACAGTCACATCTGAAAATACATCAGTAAATTTTCATCCATCAAATACAATACACAGAGAGCTTTAGCTGTAGCTAAAGACAAACTGCGTGTCAAACTACTTGAGTCATGTACATATGTGTGTACATCGTCTTTACATTACCAGTAAATCCATACCAAGATGTGTTGTAGGACAACTGGACAGGTCAGGAACAGGACAAAGGTCAAGATTAACTGAGCTAGCTCTTAATATTTTTATTCTTAACATCTTTAGCCTCTTATGTTACCTAGGTGTCAACCTCCTGTAAACTTTACAATTTTCTTTCTGAGATTGATTATAATTAATACATGTATATTAGAAATAAAATAAAAAGACATTGTCATCTCAGTTAAATTTCGAATGTTGACAAACATCATAAAATTCAAATTTAGAATAAAGGAAGTAATTAAATACAAAGTATTTTGACATTTCACCACAGATTACATTAAATGATTTAAATACTAATTGTAAAAAAGCTTTGAATTCAAATTCAAGAAACAGTTTCATTTTTTGTAAGGCATGTAGTTCTTGAAGTGAAACACCAGGAGACTGAGCTAGGGTAACTGAGTTTGCCTTGGTAGAGATTTTAACGAGTTATTGTACTTTTACATAATAAGTAACATATGTTGAGTAAAATTCTCAAGTAGAATTTATTTGAAACCCTCTAGCCTTGGACATAGACGTTCAACTACACTACTTTTTTTTTTTTGACTTGTGAGTTGCTACTGGTTTTCTGAAATAAAACAGCTGCTTTTTAACAACTTTAAAGATTATCATAATTTATGCAAGAAAAGTTTTTTGGTATATGATGATGTATTAGAACTGGCTTTGATCTACACAGTATTACTTATGTCTTGACAGGCAATCTACAGCATAGAAAGCAGGAAAATAAATCACAAAATTAGATTGCCTGTCTGAGAGTACAACTTCATTAATTACGTGTCCTATAACACACAACTTAAATGGCTATTATTAAAATCATTCTGGAATTTTTAGGGCTGTTGACAAAGAAGACCAGAATAAATTCACAGTCCACATGGAAATAACAGACTATCTTGGTAAGGGGTGACGAGTGCATCTTGGTGCCGTTTCTTTTAAAACCTATAGGTGTCACTTAATGTAAGAAGGAATGAGTAAATATTGCCAAACAAGAAACTCATACAGATTTCTACTATACTCAAAATAATACAGGTGTAATAGCAAAGGTAAACCAAGTACCGTACTTTAAAAGTTAATCAAAATCATCAACATGTTTAATTTAGTGGTATTTTTAACATTGCATCGTGCAGTTTATAATGTACATATATCAATTGTTATGAGTAAAAAGACTAGACAATTATTAATAAAGGCCAATTCCTATTTCACAGCTTTTTCTGAGTATAAAGCTTGTATTGCCCCGGCCTGTACTGATGTCACGACAGATAAAAGTCTAGGCACTATCGATCCTTTCTCTTTGTCCGTCCAAAAAGAATATATATTTGTAAAGGTAAATTTCATGTTATCCAAAGTGACAACTTTGTTAATGAATTTTGATGTATGCATTTAATTAAGACAAAATGAAATTTAATTTCATTAGGGAAGAAAATATATTTGAAATGCAATATAAATTGTAAAGCTGCCTCTTGTTATAAAGCCAGTGTGTTTGACAGTTATTCAACACTTTGTGAAAACAGATTTAATGAGATTTATTTTCTTCATTTTCAGAAAACTAAAGCTGGAGAACACAATCCTGAGCTGTATGTCTCGTATAAAAGGGGTCCCTTCAGAAAAGCTCACTTCCCATTGAATGTTCACCCCAGGGTAATGGAAATATGAGGAGTTCTTTTTCAAATATATGTTTGTTGAACAAACTCTATTCTCATTGACTAAATGAAGAAGCTGACCTATGGAGCTTTTATTTTTCAAAACTGTCAAATCCTTTTCTGTAAAGGTTGAGATGTGTATATTTCCTTTGGAATTAGAAATTAAATAACTGTAGTATATATATATATATATCCAAAGGTGAAATGAACTTGGTCTGTAGAGTTTAATTGTACCATCCTTCCAATTCTTAAGAAAATGAAGTTACAGTCAAACCTGCCATAGCAACCCTCTGTATTAAGTGAATTCTTGTTGTATGCGACCATTGAATTTCCTCCCACTGAAGAATTTTCAGCATTTTTTACCTTCAGTGACTCCCTGTCTAAAGCAATGTGACTGTTATTGTCTGTTCAGAAGCAGTTTTAGATCTTGAATTAAGATACTTTCATTCCTACTTTTGAGAAAAAAGTAATAAAATGCACAGTCAAAGTAATCCCCCCCCCCTTTTCCCCGTAATACAGAAAGATGTCTGCACTAACATATCCATTTATGTAGAATTTCACTGTCCATGATTTGGATCATATAGAAACATACGGTATAAGCAGAAATTTTAGTGATTATTCTATTTTGGCATTTTTAGTGAGGGTGTTGGAAAAAATTGCTAGAATATTATTCCCTTCTTATTTATTACCTTATTTATCTGATGGGTTTTGCATTTCCCTTAATAGGTCACTTAATACAGGTTTGACTGTATTCAAAATAAGAATGGCCACATTAACTTATTCTTCTGATTAAATTAATTTTTTTATTATTTTACAGGATTTCTTGATTGTTGATGCCAACCAAAATCAGGTTTTTGTGGCTGCTGACCATGAAGAGAATCTGGTCACGCTCTATTTATCGGAGCCTAGTGGTCAGTTCTTTGTCCCTACCCTGGAGAACATCGTCAGTGACCAGGATGGGTGGTTCCAGATGGAGATTGATCTCTATGAGGTCAGGCAATTACAGATCTTCTTATTTCTTTATTTTTTTTTATCAATTAATGCACTTTTTCACTTTAAATTAACACCCAGAGTGGTATTTCCATAGTGACTGTTATATGTGGGTTTTAGTATTTGATTGTGATATTTAGTTCATACATGTACATGTATTTCCTCACATTCTACATCATCCTATAACTTGACCTATTGCAGTTGGGTTTGATTTAGATATACAAGATAGTAGACATTTTCAATTTCTTTAGACATGATTTCACATCATAAATCAACCTCCTTTGCAGCTACTTTTCTTTGCAATTTTGTCATTAAAATATATACAGTAAAACTTAAGTTATTTAGTATGAACACAGATATGGTCAATTTACAGATCTAGTGATCCATGGCAAAATTCTTAACATTTCCTTGTAAATTTTACAGATATAGTGAACTCTGATAAAACAAATTTTACATTGTAAAATTAACTTTTTGTGCCCCATAGAGGTAAAAATAATGATATTTTAGTTACATCTTTTATAACAAGATTTTTAAAGAACTCAAAATTTGAAATATTGAACTGACATAATTTTTGGGGACTACTGTATTGATATTTGAATTTCAATTTGTTATATATACTTCAGCAAATTTGTTATGTGGATAAAACAAATTATGGATAGCAAAGTAAATTCACAGGTCCCCAGGACTTTGCTACAACCATGTTTTACTTTTTGTGATTTTCTTTTCGATTTTTAAATATGAAATTGTATTTCAGTATGACCGAACAATTAATTTATTCATGCCTACAAACTTTTTATATTTTTCCATTCTCACAAAACTTGCAAAAGTTAGTTTCACATAAAGGGAAGTTGGTCTACCAGTTTATTTTTATGTTTTTGTATGAAAACTTCAATTACATACACTTTGCATAATCTAGTTAAGGTTCTTGCTAGGTATCCTTGTTGTTTAAATTTAGGTTAAAGGAATCCCTGGGACCTATATCTCTAACCAGTATGTTGTGCCTGACCCCACAGGAAGTCAGGTATCGGAGCGGACCTTTATCACATTTGACAAGGGAGGTAATTGGAGACTGTTAGAACCCCCTGCTGAATTGAAGTCAGGATGTAAAAACCCTCAGGTAGGTTTATAGTACTTGTAGACAATCTAAAATGGTTGAGATATACAACAGCAACTTCCTTTGCAAATCTTGACAGTTTATAAACTGAAGTGTTAACTTAGTGTTCAGTGAATAAGCAACCAGTTTGTCCTTATTTATTACAGGCATGTTCTCTGAATCTACACCAGACCTACAGTAAGAACAAATTTGATATCCCAAGTATTGTGTCGAAGCCCGAGGCTCCAGGGCTGATTCTAGCCCACGGTAGGGTGGGGGATAGTCTCTATAATGGAGTTCAGGCAAGGGTGTTCACCAGCAGGGATGGAGGCCTCTCTTGGAAACAGGTACAGTGCGTATAGTGAGATGTCCATAACTATTGTACATAGTCTACCATAAGGCATCTGTTGTATGGTGGGAATGATTAATGAAAAGGCCTTCTAAATCTATAATTACATAGAAAATAATCATCTGTATCTGTTTTCAGGCACCTTTTGTAGGATATTATCATCTCAATATACTGGATCAAGGGGGAGTAATTACGGCCATCCTGCAGGACAACAAGACAAATATTGTGTAGTAAGTGTGAAGTTGTATTTCATAAAAAAAACCAATATCCTGCTTTGTTTAATAAAACTATCAGAACAATTCATATGCATAACAGCCTCTTGGCCCAAAGAAAGCCGAGCAAATTCTAGACTTGACTCATGTCTAATGACATTTATCAGCAATATCAACTTTTGTATAGTCTTTGATATGATTTTAGACTGACAAACTTTCCAATGTATTTTGAAAACACTTGGGTTTTGTGTGTGGTGATAGGGAAGTTTATCTGTTGAAATTCTTTCCCTTTGATACACGAACAGGGTTAACTGAATCAGATATTTACAATACAGTGAGATACAGCTGTTCAATCATCTTTATGGTGTTTTGCTCATGAATTTCACTGGGAGAGTAAACTAAACAAGAGAGAAACACATGCTTTATCTATGATGTAACTGAAACAAATCACAGGCAGGTGAAATTATCACTCCCTGTATGAAATTCTGTGCATCCAAATAATGTCAGTAAAATTTGATAAGATTGACTTTTGTTTATTAAGGTGCTTTATAAAATGTAAGTTATTTCTAATTTTGTTTCATTTTGACAGTTATTCCATTGATGAGGGGTCAACATGGTACTCACATGAATTCGCAGATGATAAAATGATTGTTGATGGAGTCCTCAATGAACCTGGCATTAATACCTTGATGGTCAGGTAAATCTATGCAAATGAATCATTGTGTTTACAATTTAACTGTAAATTTGGAACTATGCAATAAATACTTAAATATTTACTTCACGAAAATACACTTTTTTCACTAATATATCATGAAAACAGTCTTTTTCACTAGATTTCAAGACATTGAACTGAATTTCATGTGTGGTTATACATAATTTTAAATTATAAGTTGTAGACAGAGTTTTAATTTTTACACTCTAGTACATGTGACAGATATATGTCCCTTTGATTTTGAAGAGAAAAAAATTGCTTACATATAGCTAAGGCATTTTGTTATCATTTAACATCTAGACAGTTTTCTTTAAGAATTTGAGATTTTTAATTTTAGAATGTTTTGATTTTCATTTTTTAATTATGAATATAGTTTTTAATTGTCTGATTTCTTTGTTCAGTGTATATGGTCGTCTCAATGAAGAAGGCGACAGGCAGATGGTACAGCTTAACTTTACTGATGTGTTACCAAAGAAATGCTCCGACTTTGATTATGAAAACTGGACTGTCTTTGAAAGGGTAAAAGAAAAAGATGATCACATTTATTTGTTTTCAATGTCAATCACAAAGTTAACAATTAACAGATAAAGCTGACAGAATGACAATGGTTTAGCTTTCTTTCTCCTATTAGGGTTGTATTTTGGGTAGAAAAATGGTGTATCATCGTAGGAAGGCTGATGCCAAGTGTTTTAATGGAAGAGATTATGAAAGGCCAACCAAATCCTCTACATGTCTTTGCAGTGATAAAGATTATGAATGGTAAAAACACCTTCTCTCATGCATGGATTGCTTTCTATAATGTATATTCTCCATATCACAGTCACATACATGGCTGGCTTCAAAAATGCATGCTATATTTCATCCTTTCTATTGTGAAAGAGACTAAGTTTTATAAACATGATATCTTTTATATAATACATGTACATATTATAGATTGATTTTATAATTGTAGCGATTACGGTTATGAGTTGACTGATACAGTGAACAAAATTTGTACGAGGGCATCTTGGTTTGATGAAAGCTTGATCAAAGTGAGCTGTAAAGGAGGACAGGCCTACAACAAAAGCCAGGGGTAAGGGGTTTGAACAATAGGTTAAAGATTTACAAGATAAAATCTGACTCATTTCAATATTGTAGAAGTACTTTTTTTCCACGTGGTATTAATTTACACTATGTAGACAGTCACAAGTTTGCTGCAGAAATTTGTCCAAGCAGACTTAAAGTACATTTAAGGCATACAGAGGCAATACAAGAAATCTGTGTAATTTTCTACCTGTGGATTGAACAGGAATTGTGATTCCACAGAATTATAACTCGGTGGAAAAAGTATGTTTACAGTATATTAATAGCAGAGGACAGAATTTTATGCACTTTGTCTAAAACATATCCATATTCACTATAGATAAATTCAAAGATCAGGGTATTGATGTTTTTCTTGTAAGAATATATAGCTTTGCTAAATGGCATAATTACATTATCTGAATGTAGAGACCATCAAGTAGCATAGGGTGCTACTAAGGGAGATAACTCTAACTTGTATATTTTATAAAGTGTTAGATATAGGTGATCTAAGTTATTAATTCTGATTAGACATGAAATATAAGGGAGGATGAATGTGTTATAGATGTATATATCTGTTTGAAAGTGACAAATGTAAGAAGTTGATTTTGTTATAAATTCTATTGCATTGTAACAGGTACAGGAAGGTAGCTGCTGACCATTGTGTGGGAGGGGTAGAAAATTCAGATAAATACCGCCCCATTGTAGCCATGTGTCCCATCCTGGCTCCCAGTGGACTTCAGCTCAGTGCAGCAAAATCTGTGTTCCCCACAGGGGAGAAAATAGCTTTTACTTTGTCACAGGCAAAGGTAAGTGTTTGCCATGAACTTATCCTTCAAACAATGTTAAGAAGGAAACATTTATTAACAGATTCTGCTTGTGTCAGTTCTGTTGTGGAATGAAAAATTAATTATATTAGATTAAGAACATGTTAAACTTCTTTATCCAGGTTAATAAAGGGAGGGTGTAGCAGTGAAATGTTTCTTTTTAACGTTAAATTAGAAAGGCCACATAATCATAGGATACACTGACAGCACATGCTCTTTTTTCAACAGTTTTACCTAATATTTTGTGTCTAGGGTTTAAATTTTAACATCAGAAACCTTGTTTATCTCGGTACACATGTATTTGTTTTTACAGGGATCAGAAGTTGTTACAAACTACACTTGGGATTTTGGAGATGGCCAGGTGATTACATTGACAGGCCTTGCCAACTCCACCGACAATACACACACGTACACTAAGGCTGGGAAGTACAATGTGTCTGTGACTGCCACAAACAGTGGGGGACAGGCTTCCTGTTACATCACCATCTCCATAGAAGGTAAAAAAAGAGGTTGTGGAGGAAGGGGGTACTGGAATCAATGTCTTAATTTGTTCTTCTGTAATTCTGTAATGGTGAATAAAGGCATATACATCTGTTGTTCCCTGCATATCACAAATGCATCCCAGGCAAACATGTACTAAATGTGGTTCAATTAATCTTGGTTTGGACTGATGCACTTATGCTTGTCATGTGACAATACTCAATGACAGCATTTAGGTCTGTTCCCCACTTAATTCAGGTGTTATATAAATCAGTTATGCTCATATGATGCATTCTCGGACTCTGTGTTCACTGAAGTCATCCAGTACCAAATTTGAAGTGCACCTCACAATGGATATTGGTCTTGATAGGACACGGGGGGGGGGGGGGGGGGGGGGGGGTATGATTAGATTTTTTTGTTATTTTGATCCCATAGTGTAAGATTGTTGCACAATTACAATGTACACTTTTTGGTTACCCATCTCTTATTGTATTGCAGATGTTCTGAAGGCAGTATACCTGGAGCTGCCCTGGGGGGCACAGTTGGGGCGTAAGACACACCTGAGAGCCTCTCTGTTTAAGGAGGACTTTAAAAACTTTGGACAGGTTCACTTTGTTTGGAAATTTGGTGACAAGGTGAGACAAAACACTGAGCATAGGGTTACATGATTTGTCTTTTTCTACATATTTTTCAGATGTATCTGTGTTATTTGTTGTTGATCTTTTATATTCTAGGCCAAAACAAATTTATTATTTTATTTCCTTGTTCAACAGTGATAAACATCATGTCTTTTTCATTCCAAACACTTTGTGCATTGGTTGATTATCTAAAATTGGTTGATTATCTTAAATTTCAGTACAAAGAGGAACCATATCTAACATGGACATCCTCTGCTTCACATATCTACAACAAGACAGGAAAATATACAGTCAGTGTAGAGGCGGTCAATTCTGTGGGGGCGGTCAAGAGAGAAATGACCATAGATGTTTATGGTGAGGAATATCAGTCTGAAACAATTTTTTGTTAGTTGTTATTCTTTTCTACATAAAAAAAAGTTAAAGGCTAGAGTTCAATTATTTGTTTTGTGCTGAATAAAAAAACTGTAAAATTTGATGTTAATAAATGTTCTTAACCGACAAGCCAATACTCATAGAGAAGGAATAAAAATTTGTGATTTCAAAACAAGAACATGCAGGTATATCTGACAATATTTATCTGGTATCTGATAATTAGCATTTCTGCCCCCAGCAAGTGCCCTCATCCTGTCATGCTTAATTTGTATTACCACCTCCTGCTTCTTATGACTTACGGTCAATTGAATATCTTTGAATTAGCATGCATGAAAGTAAAGTAAAGCTATCTTTTCAACCTGAGCACAACATACATGGTATGTATCCTGAAATCAATTTCTTTTTTTAAATATATATTTGAATAAAATTTTTCTGTTGCTTCTACAGATCAATTAGCCACAGTAGAGCTGGAGTTAACAGCAAGCTTTCAGGGTGTGAACAGAGGAACATTTCTGAGTAGATCTGCTGCTTCGGATCTGTTGTCTATTGAATTGTCCAAGGTATCTACTGAATAACTTATCACATTTCCCCTGATTATTGATATCACACTACTACTGATGGTTGATATCACACAACCACTGATTATTGATTTCACTATACCACTGATTATTGATTTCACTATACCACTGATTGTTGATTTCACTATACCACTGATTATTGATCATAAACTACCACTGATTACAGTAAAACACACTTCGCGAACACACTTGTAATGAATTGACGCTTTCAACGAAGTGATTTTCATTCCTGAGGCTTTAAAATATATTGTGAACTTAACGGATTTAACAAATTACGTTTATAACGAAGCAAAATTGTCCATTCCTGGCACTTCGTTACAAGCATGTTTTCCTGTATTGATATTACACTACCACTTATAATTGATATCACAGTATTACTGATAATAGATAAAACACTAGCACTGATTATTGATGTCAAACTATCACAAATTATTGATATTGCATTACCCTGAATATAAATACTACACTTTAACAGATAAGCACACTGCCACTGATTATTGATATCACTCTTCCATAGATTATAGATATTACACTAACACTGAATATATATTGATATCATACTACCACTTATTATTTATGTCACACTTTCATTGATTATTGATCAGCCACTACCACTGATAATTGATATCACACTTCAACTGATTATAGATGTTACACTACCACTGATTATTAATATCATAAAACAACTGAATGTTGATATCACATTTCCAATTATCAGAGATATCACACTACTACTGGTTATAGATATCACATACCCATTGATGACTGATAACACACAATAACTGATTATTAATATTAAGTTTCCACTGATTATAGGTATCACACTACTAATGTTAAATGATAATACAATGCAACTGATTATTGATATCACAGTACTACTGATAATTGATATCACACTATCTTTGATTGTTTATGTCATAATTCCTCTGATTATAGATAACACACTACCATTGAAAGTATCACACTACCAATGATTACTGATATCGTACAACCACTAATTATTGTTTTAACATTTCCACTTATTAGAGATATCACACTTTCACTGGATATAGATATCACAGTACCATTGATTATTAATATCACACAATCACTTATGATTGATATCACATTTCCATTGATTTATAGATATCACACTACTAGTGTTAATCGATATTTTACTACCATTGATTATTGATATCATAGTTCCAATGATTATAGACACTACATAACAGATGAATATTGATATCACACTACCAGTGTTCATTGATATCACATTACCACTGATTATTGATATCACACTACCACTGATTATTGATATCACATTACCACTGATTATTGATATCACACTACCACTGATTATTGATATCACATTACCACTGATTATTGATATCACACTACCATTGATTATTGATATCACAATACCACTGATTATTGATATCACATTACCACTCATTATAGATATCACATTACAGGTGATGATTTCATACTACCACTGATTTTTGATACCACACTATCTCTGATTATTGACATCATACTACCACTCATTATTTATATCACTCTACCATTGAATACTGATGTTTTGTCATTGATATTAAATTGTAAGTTAAAGTGGTGAGATCAAAAGTTCAATGTCTGACAAAAAACTAAATTCACATAATTTTCATTGAGATCCCCCCCTTTAAAAATAAAAATGAAATAAATGAATGTTGGTTCAAATTTTATATTTGAGTACATGTATTAGTATTGTTTACACTATACAGTTATGTAGCCTATGTTTCTTTTGTTTATTTATAAAAAGAAATGTTTTGAATTACAATAATATAAAGTTTCATATGCACTCTATATGTAATTATCAATGTTGGTCAGCAGATTTTTTTGGACTCTTAACACCCTCCCCCTATCTATTTTAGTTTTTATCAGACATCGATCTTTTGATCTTGTCCCTAATGGTCATTATAACATGTACTGTATTAATAAGCAAAATGATAAAGATATATTTACACATATTTTATTCACATACATATTATATACACCAAATACATGTATGTGAGGGTGAATGGTACATTTATTTGTACATTGTATTTCAGATTCTGCACATTCCTTCATCACGACTAATCATTACAATTCCCTCTGATCCAAAGCGTAATATGGTTGATGTTACAATTCTACCTCCAGACACAAGAGGGCTGTCCATACAACAGGTTTAAATATACATACGAAACAGTCAAGTCCATAATAAGCTTCAATAGTTAGGAGAAGTACTGTAAACGTGGAAATTTTGACGACGTGCTAATTTTGACTATATTGACGATTTTTCTTTTCTCGTCAAAATTTCCACTCGTCAAACCTCACATCATATGTATAGCGACACAACAGACATTGACCGTTGTACAACTTTACCGCTTAATTTTCTCGGCTTCCCCTATTAAAAATAGATCACAGTTACTGTTTTATTTTTTTTGTAAATAGTTATGAAAACATATAATTACAGTTTTAAAAACCATTGAGTATGTCATATACTATTATTACCCACGGTCACAACATTCTAACTTTGCGTAATTATCACGCCCTGTATGTTTGACCTACTTTGTCACCTCAGGCAATCGATCTCGTATAATGAAAACAAAATACAAAAGAGCAATTAATTCAATCAAATCTTGTACACTGTAGATGGTTTTTACTAGCAAAATTAAATTTTATTGATGAGGTCGCTTGTAAATGAGTTCCCGAGGAAGTCGCGGTCCTTACGTATAACATCGTGAACTTTCAGGACCAATTTTGCATAGAGCAGCTTAATCATAAACGTTCCCAAGTCAACTAAACCAATATTTCCATCAAGTTTTTGGTCCTCTAGTTTCTGGCGAACTTACTCTGAGTACCAGTTTTGAAACTCGTTTTTTGAGGAGTTCTTTGTATTCATTTTTGTTTTAATCTTGGTAAATCAAAGATACATAACTCTTGCTTCAATATTTCGTCAAAATTAACACTCGTCAATTTTCGTCAACAAAAAATCGTCAATTTTTCAACACGTCAAAATAACCACGTTTACAGTATTATTTTCAAATATTTGTATATGAGTTTACTGTTCTTGATAGAAAACATAAAACAAAATTTTGGTCTACTTTCAGGTGATTTCAGCACTTAGGGATAAAGTCCAGAGCCAAGAGGTGATCTTTTCTTTGTTGACAGATGCAGAAAATATCATTGCAGGTGTCAGTGTCAAAGTGGTGCATGCTCACGGTTAGTTGTGGGTTTTTTTTTTAAATGTTTACACCAGAAATTCTGACAAAACTGAGAAAAAATTGAAAAGTCTTCTTCTTTGTACTGGTTGTGTTTTGTTTACTGAAGTATTGTTTATATTATATATGAATAGACATTCCATTATCAACACCCAGTCCAAGGCCTTTCAATGTGGTCACACCCACTTCTTCATCACAACACAGGGAGACAGCCAGCTCACTGAGTTCTAACATTCCCGTGATTGTGGGTGTGTCTGTTACCATTACAGTATTCATCATCATAGGAATCAGTATTATATTATATAGAAGGAGGTAAGATCTCATTGTCTTCACTGCCACATAACATCACAGAAAAAAATTCAATTTTCTTTTGTATCCCCCCCCCCAAATTTATTGTATAGATGGTCTCTTTTTCTTTAACAGGAATAAGGTGAAAAAAGATCATCGTTACTCCTTGATAATGAACAGGTCACAATTAACACACACTGACGAGGAGGACGATTTTATGGATGAAGATGATTTTATTGAAGGAATTGATGATTATATAGATGGTGAAGATAATACAGATGGCAGCACAAATATTGTTATAAATACAGGTATAGTGTAATGTTAGATAAGTATCCAGGTGTGGGAAAAACAAACTATTTTCAGTATGATACATGTTACAAGGACATGATACAAGGAATATCTAAGTCTTTTTGGCTCACATGATGGAGGCAGAGGCTTGGTGGGGCCACATTAGGGGTAAAAAAAAAGTGTTTTGGTCAAGAACAATTTAGAAAATACCTTCAAGAACAGTTGTTGAATAATTATACAGTAAAACTTGTCTAATCCGGATGGTGTATAATTTGAAATCTTGTCTAATACAGTGTAAAATTTAAGTCCTTTGCAGTAAATTTAATTGTTTTAAATGTTGTCTAATCCGGAATGCTGCCTAATCTGGCCAATTTCTTTCGAACCTGGTGTCTGGATTAGACAAGATTTACTGTACTTTCTTTATACTTGTGAAATTTTGGTTTGAATTGGGAGTTTAAAAATTTAGAATTATTGCAGTTAAAATTATTCATTTTTCTTATATAAACATTGTTTAGTTGTTATCTTCATGAATTTTGAACAAAAAGTATGTACAGGGTGATCCAAAATACCTGATACTACTTTGACTTTCAATAACTTTGTCAATAATCATTCTACATATTTCATTTATACATCATTTTAAACTGCTATACCTATCATTTTAATAAATAAGTAAATACGGGAAAACATAGACGAAAAAGTATCCAAAATCAGGTCATTATTTGATGTTTTGGTTTTATTTTTGTTTCAGGTCGACATCCTACATTGGTAATGATGACAGGGGGTCGCCCTAACAACAGTCCAGATAATGCCTCTATATGCTAGCACCTCATAGTTTATGTATATATTTTTATCATTCTCAATTCAAATTTGTTCGCATGATATCCACATTCATGAATCAATTGTGTCATAATGATAATTATAAGCAACTGTTAGATATACAATACAAAAAGTGTTCATTGTGTTGACTGATCAAAATCTATTCTTTTTCCTAATGTTAAATTGTACTTTTAATTATTCCTTGAGAATTGCATTTATTTTTATATGAAATGTAGATTGTTTAAGAAACAGTCTTTGCAGTCTCTTTTTTTATTACCTTATAATAAGTATGGTATATAGTGATTTGATTCTTTGAGATAGTAGTCAGACTTTTGATATTTTGAGCTAATCGCTTTAACAATAGATACAAGGAATTGGAATATTTTGTGATTCTGCAGTATTTAACTATAATTTAACAAGTCTAGAACAGATATTACGTGTTTTATTGAGGGTGTTATTTCTACATAGTTGAGCTATAGAGTCACTGATAGCTCAGTAACCCTATCCAAAGTTCTATAAGCAGAACTTATTTACTGTTGTATATAGAGGTATTCTGACTGTGATACCGAGCCCTTTAGCTTAAGTCTCTGTTTTCTATTATTACATGTAAATACCACATTTTTTGTTTTGTTTTTCTGTTTTGTTGAGCTTTATCTAGTGCTATGGAAGCTTTTATTGTTTTATTTTGTACACTTTTAAGGTGTGTCTTGTTTCCAGGGTAACAGTATATGTGCTTTTCTCCACGGTTATGCATTTTTCATCAGGATATACATGTATGTGTTCGCAATATTTTTAACATGCACAAAATTTACTTTTTTTTGTATTTATGTAAAATTGTATTAAAATGCATATATTATTTAATGCATTATTCTGTAAGCAATTTTAATTTTTGCAAAAACATATCAAGATGCTAATTGCCAATTAGTTATAGATTTAATCCAGATATGATTAATTGAACAATATTTGGATCAATACACATAACATTTCGTTGGATGCTATTGTTTAGCTTGAAGTAAATTTCTTGCTTACTTTTTTCTTTCACCAATAAAATCATTATTGTCAAAACTATGAACTATTGTTGTATGAATTGTTACTTTTTTAATCAAAATTTTTGGAGGTTGCCATCTCAACAAAGAAACAAACAAATTTCTATTAATTTGATGGGCATTAATATGATTAAAATCCATGTACTAATTAAAACTTCATAAATGACTATATAATCTATGCAGCTAAATTTTTTATCGATGATTTAGATTATTTTTAGTACTAAGGTTTGACTATCCCTTGTGGTAGACCAAGCATTAAATCATTAATTTGGATTTGAAAGTTATTGTTATTTTTTATTATTATTATATTTTTAACACTATATAATTAAAAATGTCTGTTTAAAAATGGAACTCTCCATCAACATATACCCTCAACAAACTTGCTTGTCTTGACTTGCTTATTTTGTGATGTAAACAAATACAGTGTCTGCTATTATTATACAAGATAGAGTGGAACAAATTATCTGGTTTATTACCTGGGAAATTAAAAAAAGAAGTGCCAAAATTGAAGGCCTGTTAAGATTTGCATCAAATGCTATAATGAGATATTCTTCGTTTTATACACTTACAGTTTTTTTTTTTTTCATCTGGTTATTTCAAGTTTTTTTTAAATGATGACTTTGTTTTAAATTTGTGGTTTTGTATCACTTGTATTGTTTTATTGTTCAGTATCTTTCTGTATCTGAAGTTTTTGTCAGAAGATGTACTTGATTTTAATCCAGTTTCACTTGTTTTGCTTATTCTATCAAATATGTTTTTGGTCTGCTTTTATTCCATAATTGTATTGCTGGTTGAAGTTATATGAATTAGTTTTGAACAAATCTAATGTAAATAGTTTCTATTGATGAAGTACATGAATTACTTGTATGTATGATACTTTAAAAGACAAATGTTGAGAATCAGTGTTTGGAAGGAGTAACTGCATCAAAATAAATGTGCCTGTGTATATGAATGTACATGCTTTGTTTTCTGCTGAATGATTTTTCAAATCAATTAATATAAGGGGCATTTGTGTCTGTCAGCTTTCATTAAAACTTGCTTAATAAAATAATTAAATTAATTTGAATGTTTTTTAACGGAATAGGAAAGTTTTTGAACAGTTTAGAAATCTATTCAAGATGCTTCAAGTTTTTAGCAATTGCAAGTAACCTACATTTAGTAAATATAAACTTAAATTCTGTTAGCAAATAAAGAGCTATTTTACATAAATTCATTAATTATTGTTTATTAATCTAATGAGCATATTCTCTCTCCTTTTTATGGACATATAGGTTTTTTTTCTTTCTAAATTTAAAATAATTATTACAGTTTGAAATTTATGTGCAAGTATTCATTAGATTTCAGGCTAAGAAAGGATACATGCACAATTTGCAGAGAGGACCTTATTTAATTGATACCAGCGATCACTGCAGACCCAAAAACTAGTAAACTGCTTTAGATTCCTCTGTCTGTAAATGTGTTATAATATGTAGAGTAGATGTAAAATCAGCCTTTCTATTTTTTGTGCTGAGTGCCAGAGCATCACTATCATTCTGACTAAAGTCTTTCATACATATATACTCTAGTATTATACAGCTTATAGCTATAATGAAACATCAGTCATTGAAGCCATAAGTAATCTACCCATCAAACACCTGTATTTATTTACCTGTATTTTGATCTTGGAGAACAAAGAAATTGTTTTTATTAATGAAGAGACTACAATTTATTTACATTTTGTTTTATGTATCAAAAGAAGGGGGCATTATATGTTCAAGTGGTATTAATTTCAAGTTTGCATTAATTCACCTTCAGAACAATTTTGTCCCTCATATTTTTGTGTGATGTGCTTTTAATGCCTTTATTCATATTAATAAACTATGGACATTAATATCACAATGACTTTTTTTATCTTTAGCAGTAAGACATGCTTTGGACTGATACACATATTTTGTTTGAATAACAAATGAATTTGTGTTAGATGGTTTGGAAACAATATGTTTAGCATCGAGCTTTCTTAGTTTTGGTACAGAGAGGAAATTATTGGCCTATTTTTGAATTTACTGTTAAGAAAAAATGCATTGCACTTTGTAATACTGTGGGAGATACTTACAAGGGGAACAATATAATATAGGATATAGTGGATAATAAAGAATGACCTTGCCTATCCACTTTTATTACTTATTTTACGACCCCCTCCCCCCCCCCCCTCCCCAAAAACAAAATGTTTCTTGGGGTGTATATAAGTAATCACCTTGTTGGTCTTTCTGTGCAATCTTGTCTGAGCTATAACTTAATTTGTAATGGGGAATTGTTGGTAGCTCATATTTGGTATAAAGATTGTTTATGACCCAAGGGTGTGTCATGACCTTGATGCTAGAGATACGACCTAGAATCTCGGTCATGAAAGACCTGTAGGCAAATTCAAGTAGTGTGTGGTGTATTGATTTAAGTCATTCTCTTTCACTTGGTGGTTTGTGTGACAAAGGTAGCCATTATATACTCTGTTCTAGTAAGATGAGAGTACACTATAAATTATAAACCTTTGTTTGGAGCAATCTCCCTTTTATTTGACAGACATAGTATATGTATAATGATATATAACAAATACATACATAAACTGCTAGTATCTAGTAATGTTTTGCATGTCAGTCTGTCATTCTGTGTGCAACACTTTCATGTCGGGACATTATCTCAAGTCTTTGAGCTTTTGCAATGAAATTTTTTATCACAACTCTATATAGCCTAAAAAAGACTCTTGTTGATTTTGAGGTCAAAGGAAAGAAGTTCAAAGAAGAAAAAGAAAAAAAAAAAGCCTCCACCACCGGCGGACCGGTGGCAGAGGCGCAAACATGGTTAAAAAGAGACTAAGTCCCTTAGGTAGCATTCCAGAAAAGAGACTAAGTCCCTTAGGTAGCAATTCATACATTGCAAATAAAAGTTTTCATATTATTACTTTGGTATTCTTTGAGCTTCTTTCAATGAATGTTAAGATTGCAACTCCCTATGACCTTAAAAAGACCACTTTTGATTTTGAGGTGAAATGGGTCAAAGTTCAAGGTCAGAAATTCATACATTATGTCTGTATTTTTCTCTTTTTTTCTGGACTATATCTTAAAAAGTCTTTGAGGTTTTGCAAAGATATTTTATATCACAATTCCGTATGGTCTTTTAAAGGTCACCTATTGATTTTTTAGGTCAAAGGCCAAGATCAGAAATTTATATGTTGCAAAAATGTTTTCCAGATTATAACTTTAGTTCTCTTTGAGCTTTTTTGATGAAATTACATATCATGACTCCTAATGACTCAAAGAAGATCCCTATTGATTTTTAGGTCAAATGTCAAAGGTAAAGGTCAGAAATTCAAATAATGCACTAAATGGTTTCCAGATTTTAACTTTAGTTTTCCTTTACCTTTTTCTTTGATTTTTTTTTATATCAACTCCCACTAACTTAAAGAAGCCCCTTTCTGGTTTTTGGACCAAAGGTCAAGGTGAAAAATTCATATCTTGCATAAAATGTTTTCCTGGTGATAACTTTTGTTCTATCTGAGGTTTGCAATGAAATTTTATACTTTTAGTCAATATGAATTAAAATAGATTCCTTATGATTTTGAGGTCAAAAGATCAAAGAGCAAGTCAGAAATTATATATTGCATACATAGTTTTTCAGATGATATATCTTTATTTTTCTGTAATGAAATGCATGGAGATAACGAACAGTATTCAAACTCAAAAGTCCATTAAACAATTCAAATTTTGGAGCAGAGCAAACACGGACCTCTAAAACATCAGAGGTGGGATCAGGTGCCATAGAGGAGTGAGCATCCCCTGCCGACCGGTCACACCCGCCGTGTGCTCCTTGTCATGATCGGGAAATAACGGAAAAATCCGTCGACAATTAAGTGTGTAAATAATGGCCTAACAATTAGTATGAAAAACGTCAGTCAGCTTTTGACTTAATGATAAATTGTATTTGCTGACAAGGTCATTGTATCGACCATTATAGAACTTACGAAATGATGACCTTTTAAAAACGAGACTGCTGATATTCTTGTTTCATCAACTTGTTTGTCAATAACTTACCTCGTTTTAGAAATTGCTCATACATAGAACATGCTCTTGCGTATCGAATCAACTGAGAGATATAAACCCGTATGCAGGCGATGAAGGTATATTGCTGCATAAGTAAGGGAAGTTGACGATTGTAAAGTCAAAATCATCACTTTTTTCTGTAAGCATTTTGTAATGAAACTTAAGACTATGAATTTTTTATACATAAAAAAATATATATCGGCCAAAAGCTTTAAGGTCAAGGTTGACTGACATATTTTAAAAAAAAAAAAATAATAATAATAATAATAATAATAATAAAATTCCTGTACTAAATCCTCTGCTGCCTGTTACGGAAAGAAATGTGAAATTAAAAAAAAGAAAATGGTGTATTGTTTGAACTCCCCCCCCCCCCCTTTCCTGGAATTGCTGGCCCGCAGGCTGATATCATCTTGGATATTAGCAATTTTAAAAGAAGTATTTCAAATCCATTCATTGATAATTAATCGCTGTTTGTGAGAGAAACGTAAATATATGTTCATTGAAACAAGCTCCTGTGCCATAAACCCACCATCTTTACTCTATTTTATTTTATTTTTATACGGGACACGTTAATTCGATGTTGTCACAGCGCATTTCATTTTCCGGAACTTTATTGTCCAATCGTTTTCGATCTGTTATTCATTGAGAAACACGACGAATAGACAAAATGGCGGACAAAAATTTACCATGGGGGCTGATAAACGACAAAATATCACCAGGATCAGCGAAGGTGAGCTAAAAATTTTCATTTTTACAAGTAAGCAAAGTATAACTCATTATGTATGTTCAATGACATTAATCAGATTTCGTGTAAAGGATGTCACATGCATGGCGTTATCCTAGTTGCACCCGATGATAATATTGGATTTTTCTACGCATGTTATATAAAGCAAATATTTGGTTTCAAACCATTGTAATTTTTATTTAAATATGTATTTATGTTATAGAGTGGGGGGGTAGTTTTGAATCAAGGGCAGCAGCTCAAATGCTAAACATGCTCTTGGCTAAGACAAAATTGCATTTCGGCGGTTTCTGGTCTGTTCGCGCATGTCAGTATTTTGTCTAACTGTGTCAGGGTTGTTGCACTGATACTGGTTCCACTTATTCAAACATCGCTTAGATAACGGTCGAATATTATAATATTTTTTATTAATTTCATGTAATCATTAAAAGACTTAAGTCTTAAGACAATTGCTATATCTTTTTGGAGGAAAAAAATCAAATCAGCATGACTACATAAAGGGGCCAATATTATATCCAAAGGAACCCTGACCCAGGGCTTAATAAATTGATCCTTTTTGGTGCAGGGTCCTGTACCCTTTTTATTGGGAATTTTGAATTGAGAATGTGGCACAAATTTGAAATAAAAATGTCATAACAAGTTTTACTGTTGAATAAAGAGTAAGATTGAAGGCTTATAAATATACACTATTCACACCTATATGATCATTAAAATCTTAAAATTCAAGGTTTTTTGCAATGAAAACTCAATCTTCTTGTCATTTCAGTTTTGGGAAGTATTGCCTAAATTTAGCAAAAAAAAAGTAACAGTTCAATTTGGACAGGGTCCTTTTATAGGACCTGGATGCAAGAGTTATTGAGCCCTGTGACCAAAGAACTTTATGTTAAGTAATAAGTTACATGAATTGTAAAATAACATTAAAGATAAATATGATCTTGTTTTAAGTGGTATTTCATGGCAATTACATTAAGTCTCCAAATTCATCGCAAAAAAGTGACCATAATAGAAAAATATTATAATAATTTCTGATATTCCTTAAGATAACTTCTCGGTGCAAATTTTAACTGGGATTTTGTTCAAACAGATGCAATATGAGGGAAAATGTTAAGATCATTTTTTTTTTCCATATCAAGTTATAGCAAAATTAATTGTGCTTGGAAATAGAAATTCTGTGTTTTTAATCAAGTACAAGCATGTAATAATGACCATCATTTGCCAAGAAGGGGGATATAATTGCTTTTAAAAATTTATCAACTCTGAATTGATTGCCATTGTGATAAAAAGTCTAACACTGTACTCGAAGAATAGATTAAGCTATATAAGCAAAGTTACAAAAATCTGGTATATTACATCTAACGCTACAACTTTAAGACCCTTTTGTGTTTCTTTGAAGAAGCAACTTCAAGACTAAATAATCTTCATCTAAACACAAACTTGAGTAGACTATGATTACAAAACAAATATAACTAAGCTAAAGGCTAACCTAGCAACTCAAGCTTGTTGGAATGTGAATCTTTACAACCACACTGCTCCTTCTGAAGATACTACAAACAAGATTCAAAAGGCTTTTGTAGTTTATATGATCTGTGTATTAGGACAAGCTAACTCTGCTTTGTCAGCTTTGAGGAAGTAAAGTTGCTGAGGTATAGTACAGTATACAGTTATGATACACTGTAGATCAAGTAGTCTGATATTTGCTGGGAACTGCATTGAAGGAGTAGTCAGTTTCCAGTAAAACAATACTATGTGGAATGTTTAGTGATGTTTATCAAAAAATGAGTTTTATTGTGAAACCATAGACTGAAGTAATCTGTAGTGTAGTAATTGATGGCTTTTCTCTTAATTAATGAGCTGAATGGAAAGGCAGTTGAACAGGACAAAAAATATAGATTTAATTAAGATTGAATTTTTTTCTGATGTCTTCTGTTTATAAAATGATGGCATAGTATTATTCTATGGACTACAATAATAAACAAATTTTCCTTTTCAATGCTGTAGACAATATCAGAGAGTAAACTGAAAGCTTTTGAAGTAGGGACAATGAATGTAGGTAAAAAGTCACTGTCCAAGCGAGAACAAGAGGAGCTACGGAAAAAGGTAAGATTATCTTATCAGAATAGGACAGTCTTTATCCACTCAGTATAATGACAGGATGAATAAAATGTTTATATAATATACAACAGTATCTTAAGTTCTTCAGATCGTGAGTTTAAGAGAGAAAAATGGTGTGTCTGTGTAAAATGTATTATTTCAATCTTTTACAGCAAGATGAAAAGGCAACTGCTGAAGTTTACAAGGAGTTTGTGGCATCATTTGATGATGTTGGAAAATTGAACAAAACTTGGATCAAGGGTGGAACTTTCAACCCAGACAAAAATTCAAGTGAGTGGCCTTTTTAGCTCACCTGAGCTGAAAGCTCAAATGAGCTTTTCTGATCACATTTTGTCTGTAGTCCGTCTGTCTGTAAACTTTTCACATTTTCGACTTCTTCTCCAGAACCACTGGGCCAATTTCAACCAAACTTGCCACAAAGCATCCTTGGGTAAAGGGGATTCAAGTTTGTTCAAATGAAGGGCCACGCCCTCTTTCAAGGGGAGATAATAAAGAATCAGTGAAAAATTAATAGCATCTTTTAAAAATCTTCTTCTCAAGAACCACAGGGCCAGGAAAGATGAAACTCATGTGGAAGCATCCTCAGGTAGTGTACATTCAAATTTGTTCAAATCATGTCCCCCGGGGGTAGGACGGGGCCACAATGGAGGATCAAAGTTTTACATAGAAATATATAGGAAAAACCTTTAAAAATCTTCTTCTAAAGAACAGCAAAGCCATGATGAGTCATATTTATATGGAAGCATCCTCAGGTAGTGTAGATTCAAGTTTGTTCAAATCATGACCCCTGGGGGTAGGGCGGGGCCACAATAGAGGACCAAAGTTTTACAAAGAAATATATAGGAAAAACCTTTAAAAATCTTCTTTTCAAGAACAGCAAAGCCATGATGAGTCATATTTATATGGAAGCATCCTCAGGTAGTGTAGATTCAAGTTTATTCAAATCATGACCCCTGGGGGTAGAGCTGGGCCACAATGGAGGATCAAAGTTTTACATAGAAATATATAGGAAAAACCTTTAAAAATCTTCTTTTCAAGAACAGCAAAGCCATGATGAGTCATATTTATATGGAAGCATCCTCAGGTAGTGTAGATTCAAGTTTGTTCAAATCATGACCCCTGGGGGTAGGGCGGGGCCACAATGGAAGATCAGAGTTTTACATAGAAATATATAGGAAAAACCTTTAAAATCTTCTTCTCAAGAATAGCAAAGCCATGATGAGTCATATTTATATGGAAGCATCCTCAGGTAGTGTAGATTCAAGTTTGTTCAAATCATGACCCCTGGGGGTAGGGCTGGGCCACAATGGAGGATCAAAGTTTTACAAAGAAATATATAGGAAAAACCTTTAAAAATCTTCTTTTCAAGAACAGCAAAGCCATGATGAGTCATATATATGGAAGCATCCTCAGATAGTGTAGATTCAAGTTTGATCAAATCATGACCCCTGGGGGGTAGGGTGGGGCCCAAATGTGGGATTAAAACTTTTACATAAGAATATATAGAAAAAATATTTCTTCTCAAGAACAGAAAAGCTATGTTTAGTCATATTGATATGGAATTATCCTCAGGTAGTGTAGATTCAGTTTGCAATTTACAAAGGAATATATGGGATTTTTTTTTTAAATCTTCTCTAGTACAGCAAAGCCATTTGTTATATTGACATGGAAGCATCATCAGGTAATTTAAAATTAAGCCCCCCCCCCCCCCCCCCCCCCCCGGTAATCTTTTTCAATACTGAACTGATTTGTGCTTTTGCCTAGCCAATGTGCTCAGGTGAGTGATGTGGCCCATGGGCCTCTTGTTTTTTTTAACTTATGATATTTAAAAAATGTAATTGGAAATTTCAGATTGGATAATGGAAATTTTGAGAAATATTCACATGCTTCTGTCTATGCTTAGATGAAAATTTAGATTTATTAATTTTAAATATCATTACTGAGCTTTAAAAGAGGGAAACGAAATAAAAAAAAAAACATTTTATTTGAATTTCAGTTTATCTTTTCTTCACCATATTGATAGAATTAATTCAATCAATTCACTTTGACACATACAATATTAATTTATTGTAGAGGAGAAGGGAGGAGGAGGAGGAAAGACAAAGGTGTACAAACCAACGTCTAAACTGGCCGAGCTGGCATCTACTTTCCAGTCTGTGAAGGAGGCAAAGAAACAGGACGACTTCATGGATGATTCTCAGAGGCCGGTGGGTTCTACGTCTAGTTCCTCAGATCCAGGGTTCTTTATCTAGTCCTTCAGATTCAGGGTTCTATGTCTAGTCCCTTATATCCAGGGTTCTACTTCTATTCCCTTATATCCAGGGATCTACATCTAGTCCCTTATATCCAGGGTTCTACTTCTAGTTCCTTACATCAAGGGTTCTACATCTAGTCCCTTATATCCAGGGATCTAAATCTAGTCCCTCAGATCCAGGGTTTTAAATCTAGCCCTTCAGATCCATTTTATATCTAGTCATTCAGATCTAGGGTTCTTTATTTAGTCCCTCAAATTCAGGGTCCTACATCTAGTCCCTTGTATCCAAGGTTCTACTTCTAGTACCCCAGATCCAGGGTTCTATGTCTCTTCCCTCAGATCCAGGGTTCTATGTCTCTTCCCTCAGATCCAGAGTTCTCATCTAGACCCGCAGATCCAGGGTTCTCATCTATACCCGCAGATCCAGTGTTTTCATCTAGACCCGCAGATCCAGGGTTCTCATCTAGACCCGCAGATCCAGGGTTCTCATCTAGACCTGCAGATCCAGGGTTCTATGTCTCTTCCCTCAGATCAAGGGTTCTCATCTAGACCCGCAGATCCAGGGTTCTTCTTCTAGTCTCTTATATCCAGGAGTTATCATTTCATGTACATCATGCATTTTCTACTTTGGTTTTTTGATGTTTGAATCTACTTCTTTTGAGTACTGGAATCATACACAGAGAATTGAAATAGATAAGTGAATCATAATATTGTTTTTTAGCCTGTCCCAGGGAAGAAGAAGATGGAAACAAAGAAAAAGAGCAATTTGGAGATCTTCAAGGAAGAGCTGAAGCAGTAAATACATTTATTGCTTAATTCTAAAGAATTGCCTCAGTTACAGATAAATGGAACTGCTTTTCCAGTTTTTCCTGTAGAGCAAAATGTTGAATATGTATATATACATGTATTGCTTACTTCTTAGACAAAATAATGTGTTAAATAAATGTGTGGGCTTTGCCTTTTGGATATATGTAACAGAAAAAGAACTGTATACACAAATCAGTCTCCACATTTTAAAAGCTGAGTTGTCTTCATCAGTACACAAGTATTGTTTGGATTTTCAGAATGCAACAGGAGAGGGAGCAACGGCACAAGATGAAGAAAAGGAACCAGCAGCCCCCAGACCCAGGGATCATTGCTCCCCCCATAGAGGAACCTAGCCGTGTCTCCAAGTTTGAACCCATCCCTACAGACATCAGCATTGCAGGTAACTCTAGTATCAGATGTTATATTTAATGGTGCAGTGACAAGGCCATTTGAAAGACATATGAAATGTTCTTAAATTAGATTCCAGTGGGAAAAATTCACACTTGTCTTGGTGCAAGTCTAACTTACAATTTGAGTATGGTAAGGTATATTAGATTTACCCTTTTTTATTGTTCAGATTTAAAGCTTGGACCATATGATCCAGCAGATGAAACAACCACAAATATATATGTTGGAAATATTAATCCTAAGGTATGTATTTATAAAATTTATTTAATTAATATATGGATAATTTTAATATTGGTTCAGGGATACCTCTTAATATAAGTATTCATGCTTGATTTAGCAGTAGTAATATGTTGTACATGTATGTAGATGACAGAGCAGCAGTTATGTGAAATCTTTGGTCGATTTGGTCCCCTGGCTAGCGTCAAGATAATGTGGCCCCGGACAGATGAGGAGAGGAGCAGGGGACGTAACTGTGGATTTGTGGCGTACATGAACAGGAGAGATGGAGAGAGAGCATTAAATTCACTCAAAGGTCAGTAGTCTTTATTATAGAAAAGCTGTATACTTTTCCAATCTCAGTAATCTTTATTATATAAAAGCCAATCTAATTTTATGGCATGCAAAGCTTAAAAAGCTTATGAATATGCCAAAACGGGATAAACAGAATGATATAAAATTATGATTCAGTAATACAGTGCACCATTTGATTGTGGACTGATGGTATAACAATTACATTTTGAAAATTTTTAGGTTACGTAACGTAAGAGAATAATTCAGAAATTTTTTTTTTTGAAATTTTGTGTGCTTTTTCCTCTCTTATAAAATTAAGTACTTGTGAAAAAATTTTCATCTCTGTTTTATTCTACAGGAAGAGATATAATGCAGTATGAGATGAAGTTAGGCTGGGGTAAGGCTGTTCCTATCCCCCCTCATCCTGTATACATCCCCCCAGCTCTGGCAGAAATGACACAACCTCCCCCTCCCTCAGGACTTCCATTTAACGCACAACCCCGAGGAAGGGATCGCAACAGAAAGGGCTACGGAAAAGCCCCTCCCCTCTCAGGCTGGGAAGAGGAGGAGGGAGGAGACAAGGTAATAGTCCGGGGAAATAACGCTCAAATTCATTGTTAAATGTTTAGAAAAAAATTTATTGTTTTATGCATCCCCTAGGTATTGTTATTATTTGTATTAAATGTAGTTCAGAGCCCCCAAACATTGATAATGTTCATTATAAACTACTGAAGTATTTAGTTTTATTGCTTTCTATGCATGATATGAATAGAAGTGCCTATTATAAATTTGTGTTAAGTTAAATTTCATCAGGGTAGGTATACATTCTTTATCTGAAAATTATTCTTTAAATGTATTTTGTCAGGTAGGCTAGGGATTCATTATAAATGAACCGAATTTATTTTTTAATTTAACATGATGTAGCTAGCAAAAATACTTAACACAACTTAATTTGGTTTTTCAACTGCGATTTCTCCAGAGTTTATCCAACGCTGTTGTCAAGGTGGTTATCCCAACAGAAAGGTATCTATTCTTAGTTTGTATGTTTTTGGTCTAAGAAATGCAAGGTTTGCAACTATAGTTAGGGTTAGGCTTAAAAACCACCACCAGCTTCAGAAGAATGGAGACAGGAAGATGGAAGAGAAGCAGGAGAACCTGACGTCAACAGAAGAAGTCCGTGATTATTCGAAGATTCTGTCATTTATACAAGTATAAACAGAGAAATTGTGAATGACATGCTTATGTATATACAGTAGTTTTGAACTCCAAAGAGTCATCTGATATTAATAGGCTTACTTATTCTCAGACATATACGTGTGCCTCTTCACTGATTATGTTCAATATGTGTGTAATCGAGAGTATTTTTTCAATTTGATCTTTGTGTATATATTTACCATCTTGAGAATAGATATTTTCAACACAAAAATTGGAATTTAACCTTCCATGGGACTATAAAGTAATGCCAGACAAGTTAATGTTCTTCAATTTTCTATGAGTGAAAGATTGAAAGAAATATAGAGTATCACACATTTTGGGAAAATATTTATGATTGCAGGATGCACAGCACAAAGTAGATGCATAATTGTAATATTTTCTTTAATGAGATCAGATTTTTTTTAATTTTCTGATTATGTATATAATATCAAACAGTATGGTCCGAAGTATCTATCAAATCTCAAAACAAAAACAAACAAAACCCTATCAGTTTGGAAGTTTACTTTGGTTATATTTTATGGTACTACTGTTGTCACCTCCTGTGTAGGATTCTGTGTTTTTATGTGCATCTATTAAAACTGAGAGGGCTGTGTGTCAAATGCTTATAGTTTTGACAAAATACACAGGATGTTCTTTAAAAAATATATCAAGTTATGACAACAATATACGTTGAATTCTGGAGAAAATGATTTTGGAATTTATGCAAAACAAACTTTTAGAGCAGCTTTTGTGTGCATTTTTCCCTATTAGTTTTCTTCAGTCCCCTGTAGTTTGGAAATGTGGGGGCCTTGGAATTGAAAGAGTCAAAGAATTATATTTTTAAATTACTAATGCATTTTAATACAGGGCAAAAAATAATCAAGAAGAAATTTGAATGTATTTTCAACCTCGTTTCTTTTGAGACATTCGGGTATTTTTGATTGTGTCAGGCTACAGCTTTTTTGCATGAAATGATCATATTCTTTAATTTACCTGTACATGTATGTAGTCACAGTAGCAGACATTTTATATTATAGTATACTATGTATTGTGTGAAGTACACTTTTTTTGTGATCCTTATACCAAAAGCTGTGCATTAGGACCAAATTGATTACAAACCCATCTGTGTATTTGGTCAGTTATACATGTATAATATAGTCCCAGTATTTCTCCTACTCAAGTTGCTTTTCAACTTGTTATATGACTTGAAGAATATTTACCACTTTAATTTTCTTCTTGTAAAAAAAGGTATTAAAAATGAAAAAAAAAATGTCAAAGAATTTATGCCTTGATTTAGGAAAATTCACAACTCATTTGTGGATGTGCCCTTTACATGGGGCAACTTTTTTCCATCGAAAATTTTATACATCAATTATGAGTTGTGAACATTATGGTAATTTTTCTAGTATAAATCTACAATTTTAAGTGAGGAAAAAATGAGATCAGTTTAGAATATTTTCAATGTATCTAACACAGTATAACAGTCTGTTTACTATATCTGTGGAATGAAATGTCACATTTTTATATTTTGTGTTCTATTGTGGTAAATTTTTGCACCCCCCCCCCCCTTCAAAAAAATATGGTGATTTTAGAGCTCGGCATAATTTTACTGTAATTTTTTGTTTTTTGAGATTCTTCCAATTTGTAATTACATGTAGATGTACAAAATGTAGTCTGCTTAATTGAATTCCATTGAATTTGGGACAACCCAATGTGGTTCAATTCTGCAATACATATTTATCAGAAAAAAGAAAACCTTCAAAGAAAGGGATTTAATATTTACATTGTGTTTTAAACAATCATTTACTCTTTTTCTTCTTCATATATTACTTTTCTAAATATTCAAAGAGAGATTACGTGTCTAAGAAATTACTAAATGTTTTGTTTTGATTTTCTCAATACTTTTTGCTTTTGAATCTAAGATAAACCTAGATTTCTTAACAAAGTAAAAACCTTTATGGGTAACCTTAGAAATGAAATTGCTCTAACTTTATCAGATAGAAAATTTTGGAATAGAATTAGTTTGTAAATAAAGCATATTTCATTAAATAATTGGGGGTTCTCTCAGGTGAAAAGGTTGCGAATTTGTTTTCGGTCTCTCCACAGAACCCTGCTGATTCTGATTCACCGTATGATCGAGTTTGTGGTGCGTGAAGGTCCCATGTTTGAAGCTATGATAATGAACCGAGAACTGAAGAACCCACAGTACAGGTAAACAGGTTTTTTTTCTTGAATTAAAAATATTATGGTTCAACAAAAACTTAATACATGTTTTAGTTTTAAGTGGATATTTTTAAATCTGCTGGACAAAGACTGAAACAAAACATAAACTTTTTTCTAAAGATAGAGTACAGTAGAATTGTAACTTTCCAAATTGATGGAAGTATTTTTGTTTTCATTAGATTCTTGTTTGACAACATGAGCCCCGCCCACACCTACTATAGATGGAAGTTATTCAGCATCCTCCAGGTACAGTTTTCTCAAACATCTAAAAATAGAATTTTTCTGCATGCTAATGCTGTTCATTTTTGTATCTGAATTCCTTAAATTTATCAAGATGAATTCTAATGGATTGCAGATACATTATGAAAACCTAGACCATCGTTTATTTACCTCAAAATGTAAAAATCTGTTCAATATTTTTAGGGGGATTCCCCTTACAAGTGGAGGACAGAGGAGCTCCGAATGTTTAAAGGAGGATCTCTGTGGAAACCTCCTCCTATGAACCCCTACACACAAGGCATGCCTGAGGAACTGGTGAGAGAGGATGTGGTGGACAAAGTAGTGGAACATCAGGCACCACCTGGACCTAAAAAAGGACAACTAACAGATAGGTAGGCATATCTCAGAATTCGATGAAATATTTATTAGTGTTGTGTCAGAGGGCTCTGCAAAAATACTGCATCCATTAATATAACTTTGAGATGTGTCTGTGACTAGCTACAGTTTTTAACAAGCATTATTTCTGTGTTCTACTTGAAGCATGACAGGATAAAGCTTGAATTAATTAGTGTTGGTTGTTGTTTTTTTAGTCAAAGAGATCGATTGGAGGACATGTTGCGTGAGTTAACCCCAGAAAGAACAAAGGTTGGAGATGCCATGGTGTGGTGTTTAGACCATGCCGAGTCTGCAGAGGAAATTGTAGAATGTATCACAGAGTCCCTGTCCATTCTACAAACACCAATACCAAAAAAGGTAGGTTAGAAATTTACATTGCATCACAGATTGTACAAAGAAGAAAAATAGCGTTCAGTCCAACTTGGTATACAATGTAGTTTGTTGTAACTCTCATTAATGTGGAATTATTAAGTGGAAGGTAGTTACATAAAGAAAAGGTGCTGATGTTCAAGTTATTTTTGTCCATGAATATTATTTATTACCCTTGAAGGAAACATGTATACAAGTACAGAATACTGTAAACCAACTATTATTCGCGTCATCTTTTATTCGCGAATCGTCAGTTTGAAATCAATCCGCTATGATTAATTTTCGCGACTGAGGAAATATTCTCTATGAAAGGAAAGCAAAATAAATGGTTCACGGCAATTAATATTCGCGAGTTTAAGTAGGTCACAAATCTAGGAGATATTTCTCGCATGCGAATAAAAGTTTGTTTACAGTAAGTTGTGTTATTTTGTAGTTCAATTTTTGTTTGATCTGTTTATGGTAGAATCCAGATTCATGCAAAATTTGCAATACCATTGATCTATAATATCAGAGGCATGGGGTTGAATTATTTGAGGGTAATTTTTTTTCCAATTTTGATTGCACTAGGACAACCCCAGGAATTACTTATTTTATGGTACTCTAAATTGTACTGTTTATAAAGGTTAATATTTTATTTTCATACTTTTTCAGATTGCTAGGTTATTTTTAGTGTCAGATATCCTTTTCAACAGCAGTGCCAAAGTACCAAATGCCTCTTTCTTTAGGAGATGGTGAGAGTTATTTCAAAACAATAAAACAGCATATTTGAAGTTGACACTTTTTCAGATTTGTAGAGACCTGTAGGATCTAAATTGATAAAGTTTTCTTATTTTATAGCTTTCAACATAAATTACTAGATATATTCAAAGATGTCCATGAAACCTATGCTGGTATTGATGGACGTTTGAAAGCAGAACAGTTTAAGGTGCAGTATAAGTTTGCTTGAAAAGTTTCTGTTGTGTATACATACATGTACATGTCTATTTGAAGCCAACTGTTTCAGTCTCCCATTTTATCCTCCATAAAACACCATTCTTCAACTCTCTTTTACACCCTTATTGGAGAAAAGTGTATTTGAAAATAATTCAACACTCAAAACAAAAGTTATGCTTCCTAGAAAATAGCTGCAAAAGTAAGTTCTTATTTTGTATTTTCATAATGATAGCAAAAGGTGATGTCTTGTTTCCGGGCATGGGAGGATTGGGCGATATATCCAAATGACTTCCTCATCAACCTCCAGAATGTCTTCTTAGGGCTAGTGACCTCCAAGGTAGGTTAATATGACATGCTTAATGACGGAAAAAACTAAAGTAAATGAGAAAGTTTCCTACTGATCTGGGAAGGTGGGTTAGGAGTATTGATAATGTATCCTGTAGTTAGTTATTGTGAGAAAGGGCATAGCTATTAGCTAATAGCATGTTAAAAAAAACTTTCAATATGATTGTGAGATTTAATCCTGATATGAAGTATTATCTACCAGATATTCAGAGTACCACTTCAACATCAGTTTTCCAGAGAGATTTTTGTATTTTAAATGTTTATTGTGTCAGATTGAGGATGAGGATAACATAAAAACGGAAGCGGACATAGATGGCGCTCCAATTGAAGACCTTGATGGCCTACCAATGGATTCTAAAGAGGTGGAAATTAAGACAATCGACGGCAAACCATTGGTGGAAGATGTGGATGGGGATAGCTACACAGAGGAACTAGATGGAGCTCCTAGTAGGTTCTAAGGAACAGTTTAAATGGGGCTAGAACACAGTCAGTGTAAATCTTTCAGTGTTAAAATATTCATAATGTGGAATACAGACTCTTGTAAGGATAGTATGAAGTCATTTTTGTGTTTATTTGTCAGTGATTGTAGTCTTTATTTTGAGTTGATTCCTCTGGATATATAGCTCATATTTGGTTGAAGTATAAAAATGTGTAAGTTTTTGGTCTGATCAACCCATTTGAATGTACACTAGTTTGTTGGTACACATAGTGAACATCATTAATGCCTGAGAACAGAATTACAAATATGTTTAAAGATGTCATTTTAACACTTAAATGTTTTTAGTGGAAGACCTTGATGGAAGTGTTCTGGAATCAGAAAAAGAAAAATCACCACCTCAGCCTAGGTTTGCCAGCTCAAAATGGGAAACAGTGGACGAGGCTGAATTAGAGGCACAAGGTAAGAAAGAAAGCATACTTATTAGTGTTAATCAATTATTTAGAGTTAACTCTTAAGGAGTTTTACATTTTGTAGTATCCCTGGAAGTGTACACCAGTTTAGTATTTAATACTATGAAGAATTTGTGAAGGGGGTTGGTTCAGACTTTTTGAACTATGGGAAAACTTGCATGAGTAGTTTTACCAGGTAAATTGTTATTGTTTTTGTAGCTATGACAACATCTAAGTGGGATTTGCTGGACCAACAAGAAGAGGATCCAGAGGAATCGCAGTCCTCAAAAGTGGAGGAATCTGAGGACATTGATGGAGCGTATGTTACTTATAGTAGACGTATAGTGTAGATAATGAACCAGAGGACATATGAAGCATGTGTTACTTATAGTAGACATGTATAGTGTAGATAATGAATTGCAGTTTTAAGTATTCGTAGTGTTAGATACAGTGTGTAGAAGCCTCCATTTTATTTTAAGATTATCATTTCTTGTCTTGACAGATATACCGTAAATCTGGAAATTTTTACGTCGATTTATTTTTGCGAATCGGGGCCAAAAAGTTGTTGATTAATTTTTACGTTTCAAAATTTTGCGAATTGACATTGGTGCTAAAATTAAAAAGCGCTTAAAATTTTTGTAGCAGTTTATAAATTATGCATGTAGTACACACAATAAATTACGCATGTACATACAATATTAAACGATGCCAACATGTAATAATAGGATTATAAATAATACATGTACTTACAACAAATTACACATGTACATACAATACTAAACAATGCCAACATTCAATAATCAGATAAAAATATTAGAATTTAAGAGATAAAACATCTAAACTATTTAAAGTTTTCATAACATTTAATAAATCATGCATGTACAAAAAATATATAAAACGATGTCAGCTTTAACTAATCTTCCGATTAAAACATTTGTTCTTAGATAAAACAACTGGCCTCTCTTTCTAATAATAATAATAATTAAAAAGAGACATACTGCCTGTCAAACCATCGGACGATGTTGAATGTAGTGAAGGCAGTCTTACGCATGGATTGTCAAGGGTAATTAGCTTGTAGAATAAACAGATTTCTTAAAATGACCACTGCTTACGAACACCTGTTCATCTTGTTAAAAAATAGCAAAAAAATTTGTTTTCGTTTTTTTGTTGTTGATTTATTTTTAAGAAATATATTTTTGCGAATGCAATGCACGCGCAAATTTGCTAAAAATTTATCTACAGCAAAAATTTCCAGATTTACGGTATTCATTGTTAGATCACTATTTTGTTCAGTAAATATAGAAGAAATGTTTTACTTGCAGTCCATTAGAAGATGAAGGAGCTTATTCAGAAGAAGAGGATGACTTCAGTAGAAGTTTTGATGGCTCAAAGCATGAAATGACAGAGGAAAGACGGGCTAAATTGAGAGAAATTGAAGTAGGATATTTTTTTTAGGATTTAATTTTTACCTTCTTGAAAATACATGCAGGAAGGAACATTATTCTTATTTGGGGATAATTTTTTTGTGAACAGGTGAAGGTGATGAAATACCAAGATGAAATTGAGAGTGGTAAAAGATCTCGTAAATCTCAGATGAGTATCTCACAACAGGTGGAACATTACAGAAAGAAGCTCTTACAAAAGGTGAGCATTTAACATTGAGTGCACTTAAGGCAATTGGTATGGTCTATTGTGTATCTCTTGAAACTGTTCCTTTTCTTGAATGTTGTAGTTGATTTCAACCATAATTTAATGTACTTTCTACAATATGGCTTTCATGAAACAATTTTTCTGTCTTACAGGAAGTGACTGATTCTCCAAGCAGTAAAGAAAGAAAGCGACATCGTTCAAGATCTTATTCACCCGGTTCTAAGTCTTCATTCTCGACAAGTCCAAAGCGCAGCTCATCCAAAAGATCTCGAAGGTAAAGCAAAAAAGGAAAAGCTTGGTATATCTATTTATGACTTAGAGTGCAACAGTACTGTTTAGATTGTACCAACTAAAATAATTCTGATTCAATAAATAAACAGTTGACAACATACACAGGGATTCATGATTTGCTTCTTGTTTCAGTCCCAAAAGGTCACGAAGATCCAGGTCAAGGTCACCTCACAAGCGCTCGTCATCAAGAAGCCCTAGTCGTCATCGAAGGAAAAGCAAGAAAAGCAAACATAGTAGAGACTAATAAATATTGCGACAACCATCAGACATTGTGATTTACCCATTGATCGTCATCTCATCTTCATATATATGCATTATTGTTTATGTTGTAATGGCTGTATTTTCTCCTACAAATTCAACGTCTGTGAATTTTAGTTAACAGTTACAGTATGTATCCGATGAAAGAAAGAAAACATCTAGAATTTTTCAGGGGTAGATTATTTCTTAGAGAAAGAATACAGTTTAAGTTATCTAAATTAAATCAACTGTTAAGAATTTGCAAAGAAAGTAATTCCATCCTTGTGTGTCATAACCGTAACTAGTGCAGATTGTATTATTTGATGTCCATGCTACTCGGTGTGTGATTTAATCATGAGAATAGAATACATGTACATATATCTTAAAAAGCAAGAGGATTTTGGAACAAAAAATACATTTGAAGACGAATGCTATACATACTTGAATATGTTGTAAGACGTAAGTGATAGGGCATTTGATTACAAGTGTATATCATAAAATACACTTAGCAATATTACATTACAATATTTTATCTATTTACTAAATAACATGAAAAAATTGAAATCATCATAATCAACTATTGCATTTAATTCAAATGAAATGCATGGCATTCTGGAAGGAATTGAATTACATGAAAATGATGGCTTTTGTTTGAAAATCTGTTGCTTTTATTTCAAGCATTCAAAGGCAACAATTTTCATTTATCTTACCAAGTATCATGTTCATTTTGAAAATTTCAAAGTAATATGTACATTGTAGGTATTATTTGTAAATATGAAATGAATGTCAATAGTTGTTTGACTAAACATTACTTGTTGACATAACAATGTACAGATTTCTAATACTGTGAAATAAAAAATATAAAAATACAAAGTATATATACTATTTCCAAAAACAGTCTTGTGTTTCTTTCAGAAAATGCATGAAATTGTGAACATGCAATACAGTAGATCACTCTATTTTAGTGAAACCTTATTTTCACGAGAAAATCAGGAATCTGGTATTTATAAGCGAGACAAAACTTTAACAAATTTTGGTTATCCTTGCATATAATCTTTAATAACAAAAATATATGCAAGAATAAAAATTTTGCGTAATTACACGAAAATAAAGTATTCACGAAAGAAAAATGATTTACAGTAGTATGTTAGTATGTACTTGACACAGTCAAGCTTTGTGAATCATGCTGCTTTTGTTCGAGAGCAAATTGACTGGATTAATGAACCATCTGAAATGCTGTAACTTGCTTAACTTAATTGGTAGTAATGAATGTGAATTTTTCCCCACAAGTTTTGTCGGTAAGAGATACATTCAGATTATTGTCTTGCTGATTACCGAGGCTTGAGCACAAATGAAATTTGAAGGAAAAAAATTCTAGATGGCGTCATTGTCGCAAGCCACAGGTTTTGTGTCCATTCTTTTTCCACAAAAATTTTGTGGAAATGGAATGGACACAAAGCCTGTGGCGTGTGATGATGAGATGGTGTATGGAGACTCTGTAGCTCTTCTGAGCTGAGGTCTCAAAAGAACAGATACTATGACCATTCTTGCAGTGCCTATCAACTTTTCAGAACTGGAGCCGTATCTCAAGAATCCCTGGGCCAATTTTGTTCAAATTTGTGATGGAGTATCCTCAGTCATACTAAACAAGAGGCCCTTGGGCAATAATGCTCACCTGAGTCACTGTGACCCTACTGTTCTGCATCAGATTTTTTCCCATATACATGTACATGTATTCCTGTGTAAAATTTGGATTGCCTTTTGTGGCTTACCCTTTACACAGAGGCAGTAATTTGAACAAAAATGAATCACCTACACTACCAGAGGATGCTTCCACATTCATATGATTCATCATGGCTTTGCTGTTCTTGAGTAGAAGAGTTTTAAAGATTTTTCCTATGTAATCCCTATTGTGGTCCAACCCTACCCCGGGGACCATAATCTGAATAATTTACAATCTACACTACCTCAGTAAGCTGACACATAAGATTCAGCTTTTCTGACCTAGTGGTTCTTGAGAAGATTTTTCCTTTAAAACTTTGTTCCCATATTGAAGCCCCACCCTATGCCCAGAGGACATGATTTGAACAATTTAGAATTAACACTATTCTTAGAAAGCTTCTACAAAAGTTTCAGCATTTCTGGGTCAATGGTTCTTGAGAAGAAGAGTTTTAAAGATATTTCCTATATATTTAAATGTTAAACTTTGATCCCCTATTATGGCCCCACCCTACCTCCCAGGGGCCATGATCTGAACAATTTAGAATCTACATTACCTTAGGAAGCTTCTACATAAGTTTCAGCATTTCTGGCCCAATGGTTCATGAGAAAAAGATTTTTGAAGATTTTTCCTAAAGATTTCAATGTAAAATTTGATCCTCTATTGTGGCCCCACCCCACCCCAGGGGAGGGAATGATTTGAACAATTTAGAATCTACACTACCTCAGGAAGTTTTCTTGTAAGTTTCAGGTTTTCTGGCCTGGTGGTTCTTCAGGAGATTTTTAAATTACCCCACCCCATTTTTGCCTTTCCTTGATTATCTCCCCTTGGAAAGGGGGGGGGGGGGGTGGTCCTTCATTTTAACAATTTTAACTTTGGTTAAAATTGGCCTGGTGGTTCTTGAGATGTCAAAAATGTAAAAAATTTACGGACAGACAGCTAGGTGGATGGACGCTGAACAACGGGTGATCAGAAAAGCTCTCTTGAGCTTTCAGCTCAGGTGAGCTAAAAATAGGGATGTGACCATTAAATAAGGGGAGATAATTAAGGAAAACTGAAGAGAATTGTGGTTGCTAAAAAAATCTCAAGAATCAATGGGCAGATTATCACCAAACCTGTACATAAGGATGAGAATATATGCTACATGAAATACTTTTCAAGACATTACATTAGGGCAAAGGGCAAGACCCAGGGGCCATGAATTTCAAAATTTTGGAAGAGGCACCCTTGTAACATTATAATCATGCATTTAATTAATTTTTCTGCTAAATAAAGAGGGAGAGAAGAAACTTTTGGAAGAATGTATTAATTTTCACTATTTGATCAATAGAGCCCCACCCTAACTCCAGAACCCTGCCCCAGGGGCCTTGAATTTCACAATTTGGTAGAGGGCTCAATGCTTATTACAATCATGCCAACAGTTTAACTGCTTGATGTCCAGGAGTAAAGTAGAAGATTTTTAAAGATTGCATTAATTTTGATAGTTTTAGCCCCATCCCTCAGGCCCCAGAGGGGCAGGGACCATGAAACTCACAGCTTTTGTTCTCTTTCACCCATAAATGCTATATGCCAAAATTGATTGAAATTGGTTCAGCTAGTCCAAGGAAGAAGTTGAAAAGGTTCAAATTTTTAAATGCATGACTAAAGAAAGACGAAAACAGATAGCAACCAGAAGTCTCTGACGAGACTGTAGCTCTACTGGTTGTATTTATTAAGGAAGATAAAAGTAGCACTTGGACTTGAAACTTTGCAACAGCAATAAACAGAATAATGATCCTTGGTTTAGTCTCTTTTGTGGCAAGATTTATTATAATATCAGACTAAAACTGTAGGAGGAGTAGCCTTTTAAAACAATTTTACAGAAGTTTTGATTTAAGTTACCATGGCAACATCATTCAACAAAATCAAAAAACAATAACACCAATTATGTATCTCTGTAGTCTACTTGTATGCCACATTATACTGAAATCAGACAAAAAGTGTAGGAGGAGTAGCGTTTTGAAAGTATTTCAAGAAAATTTCTATTTTTAGTAACCATGGCAACACTGTTCATCGAAATCCGAAACTGGTACAGAGAATTATGTATCTCAGTGTAGTCTACTTGTGTTCTAATTAGTATTACTAAAATCAGACCAGAACTGTAGGGGTAGCATTTTGAAGGTATTTCAAGGAAATTTCTATTTTTAGTAACCATGGCAACAATGTTCATCGAAATCAGAAAATCAATATAAAGAATTATGTATCTTAGTGTAGTCTACTTGTTTGCCAAGTTATACTGAAATCAGATCAAAACTGTAGGAGGAGTAGCATTTTGAAAGTATTTCACAGAAATTTCTATTTTTAGTAACCATAGCAACATCGTTCATCGAAATCAAAAACCGATACACAGAATTATGCATCTTAGTGTAGTCTACTTGTGTGCCAAGTTATATTGAAATCAGATCAAAACTGTAGGAGGAGTAGCATTTTGAAAGTATTTCACAGAAATTTCTATTTTTAGTAACCATGGCAACACCATTCATCGAAATCAAAAACCCATACACAGAAATATGTATCTTAGTATAGTCTACTTGTGTGCCAAGTTATATTGAAATCAGATCAAAACTGTAGGAGGAGTAGCATTTTGAATGTTTCTCACAGAAATTTCTATTTTTAGTAACCATGGCAACACCGTTCATCGAAATCAAAAACTGATACACAGAATTATGTATCTTAGTGTAGTCTACTTCTGTGCCAAGTTATACTGAAATCAGACCAAAACTGTAGGAGGAGTAGCATTTTGAAAAATTGTTTACAGACGGACAGACAGACAGACAGACGGACGGACGACGGACACCTTACTATCGCATAAGCTCTTCTGGTCTCTGACCAGTAGAGCTAATAAGTCATCTGAGTGACTCAGGTGACCTAAAAAGCTTCATACTGAAAACGCTTTCTTTTAAAGTGCTGATAATTTATTTGAATCATTTCCCTCTTTGTATCTATTTCACTTCAAAATGAGCCCAGATAATGTGAAATGGGCACCACCACATACAGTAATACCTTGTCATCATACTAATTGTAAAGTAATATAAAAGCAAAACTTCTTTTATTTTAGTCATTAACTTTATTTCAAAGCATATGTTAACATTTTTTTTCACTTTCTATTTTATTGCACAAAGTAGGTTTGTGGTGGATCACTTAAAATCTTAATTACAGTATGAATTCTGTGAAAAAAACTTAAAATTTATTAATTAAAATCAAAGCATAATCTCAAGATATTGTAAAATTATAAATCATGAAAACCTACATACTAATAAAAATATTTCTATATAAACATGGGACATGTTTTATATCAGCTGCAATGAAGGTATTCATGGGAACAGCTCTGTCTCCACATAACTCTCAGACTTAGCTCTCAGTTCATTTCAGTCATTTGTTCAATCACACCTCTGAGTCATGGCTATGTACAGATGAGAACTCATGAATCTCTTCAAGGCAGCCAAACTGAGTATTAACCTTGTCATATTACAAACCAAACACAGGTGATAATAATAACACATGAAATCTTATTTAAAAAGCCATAAGTACAAATCTCTATGGTACTATATATAAGGCACAATGTACATGTTAATTATTTCTCAATTTGAGCAAGAAATATCTACATTCCTTCATAGCACCATGTGAAATCAGACAGACACTGAAACGAGACTTAAAACTGAACATGGAAGACAAGACAGAGATAATTCAGAATCATTTACAAGCTCAAAATACATACATCATATATACCTCCACTTATAATTCAGTAAAAAGCAATTTGTTCTGTAACAAACAAAAATAAAAGATAAAGAACTGCTGCAAAGTCTTGCTTCACCTGGACTCGGTGACTTTAATACTGCTGAAAGGACAGTGAGTATTTTGTTCATTACTGGCGTGTACACACTCGGCAACGACTGATTCTAGATTCCTGATTGCCAGCTTTCAATGTCTCTGGTCGCGGAGTGCGGAACTCATCAAATGATGTCAGTGTAGCCATCCAGAAGCTGAAAGAAGTGGCATAATGGTTGCATCGCCCATTGCCGTGGCATTCAATGAATGGTGTGGCTCGGAAGTCTTCCAGACAAGATCCGGGTGACTCTAATGACTGGCCAGCACCCTGTCCTCCGGCTCCAGATGACTGAAAGAAACCAAACATGTTCTCAGCAAATCTTTTTGAATCAATTATATCTCTATTACATCAGATGATTCAAGTACATATACTAGTAATTTATCACCTTATTGTACTTTTTGTAGGTACTTTATATTACTGTATATAGGGAAATTTTCACCTCCGTTTTATTTTCGCCCCTTTCGCCCTCAACTCAAATGGGCGAATTTAAGAGAGGGCAAATTCAAAGAAGACAGTATAATTTCTTTAATAGAACCGTGACTGGGCCATTTTAAAACAGGGCAAACTTGTCTGCAAATGTAAAAGGGTGAAATTAACACAGGGCGAAAATATTCCTGTATACAGTATTTCTGACACAATGCATTATTCAATTGTAACACATTCATAATGTATGCTCAAACATTTATTTAGTCATGTTCCTGGCTGTCTCCAATATTCTAAGCCACAAAAATGCAGCACTAAATATTTAAAGCTTTATATGCCAGAGATTGTGAAACACATTCATAACAAAACTTTAAATCAGTGTACTGACTCAAGTTTTATACCCCACTACAACGGACAGATCTGCTTTATTATCGAGCAACCTTATTCTTTGTTTAATATCCACAAAAATTACAGGGAGTTTGGAATTTTTGGTAAATAAAAGTACAGGCAACTTACCATCATGAAGCTGTAGCCTGTCCATAAACTGCGGAATCCACTGGGACAGTTAGGAATAGTAGTAGCCTGACTGTGAACTGCTACAACCTGCAGTGAAAATAATCTCACTTATAAAATTAATATTACATATGTGCTGACTTTACTTACTTAGGAAAAGATTACAAAGAATTAGAAATAATTTTATTCTAATGAAGAACAAAATAATAAAATTCAAGTGTCTTAACACCGTAGAAGTTTTGTAGGTAACATACAAACAGTGACTTTTATATAGAATCCCATTTTCTTACCTCGGAGATGGCTTCACAAACTGAGCAGCGGCTGATATACCTCTGTAGCGTGGAGCCTGTGATGGGATTCATCATCGGCAGCATGGGTTCTCGTGTAGATAACCAGTAACTGTAGTCATTTCTCCAGGCCACGTTACAGACATTATTGATGTTACAAAACATGAAAGGCATCGTGCTGAATCTTCTCAGACAGCTACCAGAGGTACCTATTATGTACAAACAATTCATCAGAAACAAAGTCCTTTTATTTTTCATTCATGTACTGCAGACATATTTTTTTCCATGTGTGATAATTTACACTATGTAAGTGGTCGAAAATTTTCCATGAAAATTTGTCACAGCGGATTCCACAGAATTACGACCCTGTGGAAAAAAGTACATTTACAGTAATCTTGAAAGAATGCTCATTTACAATGTCTACTCCTGACTTACCGAGATCCTGTCCATGGCTCCTGCCATTGCCAATGATATGAACCAGGGAATAGCCATCCCAGAGTTTAACTGTTCCAGTTGGACACTGAGGCACCACCGTGGTCTGGCTATGTCTGTAGAGAATATATAAGAGGTGTACCATGTGTATGTCAGTGAAAATTCAGGAGTATCTAATGTAAGCTGGTTTGAGAAGTTTGTTTATATGTAAGTCATAGCTTGAAGTACATTGTATATACAGTATGTACTGTAACTCAAAGGATATCATTTGTATAATGAGTCGCATCTTGAAATACTGTCTGTGTCTCGACTAGGAGGAATACCATTTGTTTCAGTAATAAATCAGAAGAATATCATCCACTTTTGAGTCTTGATTTAGAAAAATATCACATTTTTAAGTCATGACCTGAGGATATGATCTGTTTCTCTAAATTATCGAGTCATGACTCGACAAAGATCATCCATTATTTTGTCATTACTTAGAGAATACTATTTGTTTATGTCAAAAGTGGGAGAGTAGCATATTTATAAGTCATGACTCTGACAAAAACTATGTGTACATGAATTTTGATTAAGAGGAAAACCATCTGTGTGAAAAACAATCCTTGGGAAAGTTCCGACTATTTGTGTAAAAATGTGACTTTATTCACATGAAGAGCCCCCAAGGTCATGAAGCAGTCTTGGACTTGATTCAAAATTTCAGTCATTCATAAAATGAATTTTCACTGTATATTGATTATTGAAAATTACAATTTAAAGCCTGAAAGGGAAACAATTTTTAATAAGATTTCAAATTTTATGTGGTTTCAGAAAGTAATGCAGAAAACTTATAAATGTAAAACCAGATGATGAAGCTTTATTTCCTGAATTTACCTGGCAAAGTAGAGTCCATATCCTTCCCCTGTAGACCCAGCAATACCAGGAATTCCAGGGAATCCCTTTTGTCCTGGTGCTCCTTGGCGACCCCGCTCTCCGGGAATGCCATTAAGTCCATCGATTCCCTGAGGCCCTTTACTTCCAGGTTCACCCACATCTCCATTGCGCCCAGATTCCCCTGTCATTCCTCGCCTGCCCTCATCTCCTGTTTAGTTACATCAAACTTGCATTGTGGTACGTTATATATTTGAATATCTGTTATTTTGAAATTTGATAAACAATCATCTCATTGATTTATGCTGAAATCACACAATATTCACTCTGTTGAAAATCAAGGAATACATTTCTTATTTCTTTTATACAATTTCATTCTCCTTGAGGTTTTCAGTGTTCCTTATTTTACATTCTAGTTTCGTACTTTTCTGTAATTCCCTTGTCCAATCTCCACCCACACCACAATCCACTTTTTTTTGACTCACCTCTTTCCCCAATCAACCCATCAAGTCCTGGGTTTCCATCACGACCCTGACTTCCTTTGTCCCCCTTTTGCCAAGGTAGAGGTTCGATAAATGGAGCATTTCCCGGATCTCCCGGTGGTCCAGTAAGTCCTGAAGTAAGATTTTATTTCATTCAACAGTAGCTTAAAAGATGGCAAGTTAAATGAATTTTGAGTTCGTTTTGGCATATAATTTAATAACTCTAAAACATGGGGTTGAATGATTAGAAGAATGTCATGTTTGGATGTCTGTTGTAGACATGTGTCATTATGCTGTCAGGACTCTTGATCATGCCATCCCTTGAACTGATGAGTTCCTCTGAGAGACCCAAGACTTTTCACATCTACAGCTGAGTGATTCATGAGGCACAGACAGTAACCTCTGATGTAATATCACTGACAGGTCCAATTTCACTGGGATAAAACTCACGACTTTCTACTTATGAAGTGAATGCTCTAGATGACTATATAAAACTATTGTGGTCAAAAACGGGATCTTTCAATTTAAGTATAATGCTCAGCATAAGGGAATTTACACACCCCCCCCCATTTTTTTCCCAGCGACGACACAGTTACAGGGTCAACCCCCCCCTCTGTCATTATCTGTCCTTGAGCCATGGGTGATTTTTTTCTCCATTATATACAATTAAAATATACCCATGCTCAAATTTAAATTTTTTTTTTTTAAATCAGTAACCTTGAACTTGCTCATATGACACTGTTTAATGACACGCCCTCCAATCTTATGCACTCTTTCCAACAAGTATGAAAACCTTTACATGTTTGTTTCTCCATTTAAAATACTGCAAGTACAAAATTTGTATTTTTTTAATAAATCCATTCAATATATGATGCAGCTTTTTCAAATGGGGGGTAAATAGTCATTAAATTGATCTATTTAAAAAAAGAAGCTTGTTTGCAAGGAGGGGTGGGTACTTACCTGGTTCTCCTCTTTCTCCTTTTGGTCCTAGAGGTCCATTAAATCCTCTATCACCTGGTAAACCCCTACGTCCAATTTCTCCAGGAAAACCTACATCTCCTGTTGGTCCTTTTTCTCCTGGAAAACCATCCAAACCAGCCTCTCCCTGAAGTTCAGAAAAATGTCTTCAGAGTTAATATCTTGATGAATTTTACATATTTTTTCAAACTTAAACAATAAAATGCTTTCTGTCTTTTTAATGTGGGAATTAACGGTTGCAGCCACTGCAGAAAAATACATAACCCAGGTAAGCAGGTTATGTAATTTTTATGAAGGTTATATTTAATTTTTTATTGCAATGGATGCAACCATTAATTCCCAATTAACAAAGACAGAAAGCATTTTATTGTTTATATCTGTATGAATTATTTATATAAAGTGAGTGTATGTAAAAATTTTTATTATTGATTCTTACATTACATTGAGGGAATTGAGAGCTTACTTCTTAAGAAATCTTTCATAGGAATGGCTTAATTTAAAACACCAGTTCTTAATAGTTTTGAGTAATTGATGAATGGGAAATCAAGGAGAAAATATTTTAGCCTGATATTTTATTCAGACAACTTGGGTACATTTACATAATGGTGAACTGGATGTTTGCTCATTGTATACATCTATGAAACATGGAACCCTCTGTATGTCAATATGGTTTAATCTGTACTACCATATAAAGTTATGCATAAATAAATCAAATGACCTTGAATCCAATAAATCCCCTGTCTCCCACAGTTCCTTCTTCTCCAGGGAATCCTGGGAATCCCCGGTCTCCCTTTTGTCCTGGAAGTCCACTTAATCCTGGGTTACCAGGAAATCCCTTTTGTCCAACACGACCTGGAAGAGGGTGAACAATATTCTATTCATAGCAACATTTAACAAAACATTTAACAAAAATTCTACAAACTGTGATGTGATTTGTACCACTTTCTTGCCACTCCTTCACTTCTTACCTCGTTCTCCAGGGAACCCATCCTCTCCTCTTTCACCCTTGAATCCTGGGAAACCAAATTGATCCTCTCCCCTCATTCCTTTAAGTCCTGGGAATCCTGGGAGTCCATTGTCTCCAGGGAAGCCTTTGTCACCGGGAAGACCTGGTGTTCCGGGCAGGCCCGGTTCACCTGGTTCACCAACAAGACCTACAGAAAGCAAAAAGTCAAATGTCAAGGTCATTTCATTATTTCTCCGCTTTTATAAGGGGAAATATCTTATTATCTAAAATACGGTTTAAATTTGTATTCACACTACTTTAAACTCTGCAAACAAAATAAAATCTGAAATATGATTTTAAGGAGACTTAACACACTAAAATTGTATTTATGATTGTAAAAGAAATTATTGGCTTGGAATCATGCAGTGCAACTTCCATTCTCAGTAATTGTTTCTTATGAAGCATAGATGAACAATGAACCTATCACACATCAATGTCTCACCAAAGGCATCTTCTCCAGGAAGTCCAGGACGACCAATAAATCCAAATTCACCTGCAAAACAGATATTTTTCTTTAAAATATTAAAAGAAATTTAAAGTTTAAGTTTGAATACTGTGAAATCACTCATTTTCATGGGGATTTAGTTTTCTTTGTTTTTCTGGTATGGAGAGACCAAGAATTAAGAATCCCCCACAAAATGTTAATAGAGGATATTCAATGTTTTGTAGTTGGATATGGAATTAATTCACGAATGGGACAGGATTTTTTCTACCACCAAACATTAAATTTTCTGTTTATTACATTTTCTTTGATGTTCCCTTTGCCTCTGTATTTTCTTAACACAGTGTCATAGGCTTGACGTCATAGTTGAGCAGTTGAGACATCATAGCTAATTTAGCAGTTGTGAGATTGAAAACATTGTAACATGTATTTTAGCAACATGTTTGGGAAGACATTGGCAGTTTTAGTCTCTATCAAGATGGTTTAGTTACTATATCTTGTTATAGGCCAGAAATTATTCTTTAGTTACTTTGATATCCTTCACATCGTGACAAAATATCACTTTGGTATCCTTTCACACTGTGAGAGAATATCACTTTTTTTCAATAAATAAATCACAGTATTTCACTGCTGAAAAAGTAATAAAATTTCATACATATAACAACTCATCAAAATTTAATTCCCATGAACCAATATATTTTTTGTCAAACCATGGAAATTTTATCCCAAATAAATAATTTTACAGAATATGAACTTGGGATAATACTGAAGTCAATTTAATTAGCATTCAAGAATCACTTGACAACAGCTCATACATTTTAGTGTATTGCACTAAATAACCTTATAATCTCCTCGGCCCTACATACCAGGTTGTCCCTTTCTACCAGGTCTTCCCACTCTTCCCTCCTCTCCAGGAACCCCAGACTCTCCCCGAAGTCCTTCGAGTCCAAACAGACCATCCTCTCCTCTCATTCCTGGAAATCCAGGCAGTCCATTCTGCCCCTCCTCTCCTTCAGCTCCCTTAGGTCCATTCAAACCTGGACGTCCCGGAGCTCCATCAAATCCCCGTTCTCCTGGGGCACCTGTCAAACCTTGTTCTCCTGGGATTCCAAACAGACCAGGCTCTCCGTGGAGACCAGGGAATCCATCAGCTCCAGGCAAACCAGTAACACCCTAGTAGATAAAATCAACATGTACATATATAATAATTTAAATATTCAAGATGACTGCTGATTTGTTTTTACCAGATAAATCAAGAGAAGTAACATATTATGCTGGGTGCATTGAAATAACATCTCATTTCTTTTTACAAACCAGTATGACAAACTTTTTTCAAAGTTTATGGAAATTTATAATGTTTATGTCAGTTAATAATTGTTGGCAGGGATTAGGGGTTATTTCCAGAGTTCATCCAAGTTAACTTCAAATTTCAAGCGTGTTACATCATTACTTTATTGACAACAAGCAATGGAAAATCAAACATGATGATTTATCGTATCATTACTTCCATTTGGATATTTGAAATCTTCATAATAAGTGGTGCTGTAATGAAATCTAAAATAAACTGTGGGTGTAATGAGCCTCCTTAAATACATGTAGTGTTTGAGGTGTTGTTTCAAAAGAAAGTTTGGGGGAAAAATACTTCATTGATAGAACTTAGTTTGGAGGCCAAGAACTTGTGTATTTTGGGATTTGTAGGTACATGTACCAAGGAACAAACTATAAAGAAGCTGATATACTGATAGACTCCTCAACTGTTATCCATCCCTATTTAAACCTACCCTCTCTCCTGGTAACCCATTTAAACCCGGAGGTCCTTCTTCTCCACTTTCTCCTTTGAATCCAGGTAGTCCAGTTCTTCCCTGCTCACCTGGAATCCCTGGTAATCCAATGACACCTCTCTCCCCATCCAGCCCTATAAAGAATGTACAGAGGTCAAATGTAGGCCAAAATATTGTAAGATTAAGATTATTCAGTACACCTACATGAATGAATGATGACATCTTAATTCTGAACTTTGTTCTGCAACAGTGACAATAAGGATCATGATGTGAACTAATCAAAATCTACACTAAGAAAGAATGCAGTTTATTTAGATTGAAAAATTAGGAACCCTCTATGCAGTATTTTTCTTCTGGGTACATGGCTGTATCGGATATGTTGGAAAGGAATTTAATACAAATAGATAAACTTTTCAATTACACCTTCATAAAATTTTCTCAATATCCAAAAAAACATTTTTCATTAGTGTATCTAGGATTTGTATTGAACATGTCATACTTTTCAAGCTTATATGTCAAATATTGCAATACTGAGAATCACAGATTTTCACTACCCGATAATTATTATCAGACTTCAACATTCTGGTGAACTATAGGCATCAATAAATATGTTATTGTCATGCACTGATTTCTCTGATCCAAGTCAATACTTTTAACTAAGTGTCCTTATATGACCTCTTTGCTTGACTAAACCTCATAAACAATCTACTGATGAATCAGTTCATTTGTCATATTTAGGACATTTTTAGGAGAGGAATGGGCATTTTTTCTCCTGAATATATCATAACCGCTGATCTTTGTGTCAAGCCAGATATTAAAAATTACTTGCATCAATCAAGGGAAAACAATGTTTATAAATAACTTTCAATTGATATACATTTTATTTAGCAATGAGCATTAATGCATGACTGAATCAACTATGATTTTTTTGTACATCTCTTTAATTTCATTTCCTCTATACTAGCCTTTGGGAAAGTCAACACCTCATTTTCCACAAAGGATTGTTTGCACACAATATTGCACGTTTCAAAAGTTTACCATGACGGAAGCTTTCAAACAGTAAACAGGAAGTTGTCTGATACTAAACAAAGCAGTGTAACCTACTTACATAATTAGCAGTGTAGCAGCAGGATTTAATTCAATGTTTCAATATTGCTGATAGCTTTCTGGATAACACTGCTGTGAAGCTCTCGGTGTTATGGCCTGGATTCATTAGCTTTTAATGTATGTGTGCATACCACAAGTGAAAGACCTTGGAAAGTAGTGGTGATAATATATAAACAGACAACCAGTGAAATATGAAGTGCGTTTTTGTTTTTGTGCATTCCATTCTTATTTTACTGTGTATATCTGATGTTTGCACTCAGAATGTTACCAATAAGGCTTGCAGTATAGTTATACTGGGGAAGAAGACCAAACAGAACTTTGACAGTTTGTTCAACAGTGGAAGCACAAAGATGGTGAGAATCAAAATGAATTTTCAGAATTCTACACAGGATCCACTGTCTGGATTAGCAAACACAAACATATTTTTACCCCTCGTCTGGACAAAAACCAAGGGTTCGGAGGGAAGGGGTTTGTTACTGCTAAAAGAGGAACTAGTTTCTCTGCCTTTTTCTGCCCTCAGTTATGGAGTGGAAAATTTTGAAGTGAATATTGCAGAAAATCCTCCAAACTGCTTTGTTCAAAACAATCTTAATGTTTCCTACCTACAGTCACAGCTGAGGGATCTTGTTCTGGGAAACTTTGAGCTCAATGATAGGACAGAGACCCCTGAAGGTCAGCGGGTCTGTAACCAGCACATCCGGGACAATGGTCAGGGGGTAGCGGAGTTCTACTTTGTTTGTTGTTACAGAGATGATGACGGTAAACTGATCTGCTCAGAATTGTCAGAGGACCTTTGGCTCTATGTCTTTTTTAGAATCATGGTAGTTGTTAACATTCTGGTGGTGCTGTTCAGTCCCTTGCTGGTGCCAGAAAGGTGGTACCGTGAGAAATACGTCAACTTAGTGTACACCCATGTTCTCTCAGAATCAATCAAGATCAAAATCTTAAAAACATCAGCAAATACAAATCGTTCTAAAACTTCAATCAAATTAAGGGATCTCTTAGCTGAACCAGACATGGATAAATTTAAAGAGTTGATTTCTGAACTGCAAGAGGACCATGCATACACAATCAAAATCTCTAAACTTTTATTTAAAATGAAGGCAGACCGTCTAATCCCAGCCAATTATGTCCCAGTGGGAGTATTCAAGACACTGTATGACACAATAGTGAAGTGTCAAGTGCGGGAACGATATGCAGTACGGGACTGTTGCTACAGCAATATGTTTGGGACTTGTAAACCATGTAAAATAACTTTTAAATGGTACCAATGCCTGCAAAAATTCATGCTGATGTTGCTTCTTCCTCTGTTAGCAGTTCCCTGGATACTGCGACTTTACTTCTATTATGTCTATGAAGATACACGAAGAAACCAAAAAAGTATGGCGGCTGAGTCCCGTAATCTTCTCCCAGACTACCCGGGAAATCTCCTGGCATATTTTAACCCTATCCATGGAATATTCCTCTTCTGCTATGCTATTCTAGTATTAGACATTCTCCTGTTTGGAGTTCTTCAGAAGAAAGTAACAGAGAGATCTCGCTATGTAATTAGGAGGTGCTTCAGGGACATGCGTGGAATGAACCGATCTCAGGCGATTGGCTACTGTATATTCACTCTCCTTATTCCAATTAAGAAGTATGGCATATTTTTCCTCCTGATAGCCTGGATTTACTGGGTGCTGGCCATCCCTGTTCTTGCAGTTGTCATTGCATTTTACTTCATGCCTCTGGTAAACATAATGTGTCGTCTTCTATTCAATTACTTGGAAATGCTGTTTCCTATCCAGAAGTGCTTTCGTCCTATTGTCAAAACATACCGCCGTCTGTATAAAGAAGATTACAATATTCCCATTCCAATATTTGTTGAAGATGAAATAGGGTCACCTAGGATTCCCAAGTCAAAATTGGAAAAAGCCATTAACATGGTGATAACATTGCTGCTTATTATATCAATCATCTCATTTACTGTGTTAGCCCTGGAGTTTTTAATCGTTGTGGTGGAATATGTCATCTACCAGCTGATTGGACTGGTTCTAAATTGGGGCGTCTGGATGAAGTATGTGACGTTGATTCTTATCCTGTCTCTTTATGCCAGAGATGGTTTTGGGAGTGTAACTAAACGATACCTGGTGTTTAATGAAAAACTTCTAGCTCATGTCAAATCAAAAGCTGAAGACGAAATTAAAACGTACATAATGCAAGATCCAAACGAGCAAAAAAACCATGCTTTCCAGATAGTCGATGAATCCAGCACGACACAAGTAAATGATGCATCTACACAAGAATCACAAACAGGAGAACATATTGATGACAAATTTGAGTTGTCTGTACGAGACTCACAATTGGAGTGGCACATGCCTCGAGTTGTACTTTATGTTGACAACACTGATATTACTTACATCACAAAGGATCTGTTCTTCAAAGCCTCAAAAATGCCCAATGCTGGATGTCCTGGCAGCCTGATGGCCAATCTGTTTACTGCCTTGTCTCATTTCATGGTGATCCTCATATTTCTACTATTTGTGCTCTTAGTCATTGCAGCATTTGGTGAGAGATACCAAGTCTCGGGGGTGAACCAGACAGTACTAGCAGCAGTGGGAGGAATTCTACCGTTTGTCTTCCAAAAAATTCTATTCAAGACACCTCCAGAATTTGATCTGGATACAAGCAGTCCAAAATTCCAAACCGCCTTTAATAACCTTCTCCATGTGTATACGGAGCATGCCTTTGTTTACGATATTGAAGGTGAGAAACCAGAAGAGTCTGCAGACCAAACAGATATAGATCTCCTGATTGACACAAATGATAAGAAAGACAGAAACTCCCTGCTACTGACTTAGCGGGTTGTCTGATTGTTCACTTAAAATTTCTTTGTATGGTATGGTATCTGTATTGAATGAAACTATTTTCATTTTTGATATTATCTGTGCAACTGCAGTTCTTTACAAGCTTTCTCTGATATTTATATATTATATATACACAATTTTTAGGCCTTATATATACATGGTTTTATTGTTTTTTTTTGCTCTCAGCTTTGTACTGATATTTAAGATAAACTGACGTACATGAAAGCTCAAGATTAAGGTAAATGCTTTGAAACATTGTCTAGGTTTTATTCCAGATAATTAGATTAACATGTTTAATTAATGACAAGAGATCAGAGCTCCTCGTCATCTCAGTCTGTATTCTTCAGTGTTGTATTCTTTTCAAAAATCTACTGTAGGTTAGAATCATAAAATGCATATCAAATTTAAATTTCTCAACATTTTTAATGCATCTATAAATCTTTCCTTATCCTCCTTTATTCAAATTGATCTGTGCCTGTGAGAAGACTTATTAATGCATTTTGTAATAAAAGATAAATGCTTGTAATAGTTTTCTTCTTCATTCACAGTTATATGACTGCTTACACGTATGATTCATCATCAGAACATTCAAAGATTAAAGAATTAAAAAAAAAAACTCCTTTTACACATTGAATGAGATCAGAATGACTTCAAGTATCCTGACCTTGAACCCACCTGTCTTCAAGTTAAATGCTTATATGAAGTCTCTCTCTTTTAAATAAATTATAAGGAAATCCATTAAAAATGTGACAGTAAAGCAAGAACCTTTTGAACTGTCCAATAAATATTCCAGTAGATTTATTTTTTTTTAAAATATGATTAAAAGCAAATGTCAAAATGCTTGCAATTTTTCTAGAACCAGATGTGCTAAGGAAATGAAATTACTATAGGGAGTACAAGGTTTAATCAAAAACAGTAGATAATGTGGGGAGGTTATGTCCTCTGTAGATAATGTGGGGAGGTTATGTCCTCTGTAGATAATGTGGGGAGGATATGTCTTCTGTAGATAATGTGGGGAGGTTATGTCTTCTGTAGATAATGTGGGGAGGTTATGTCATCTGTAGATATGTCTTCTATAGATAATGTGGGGAGGATATGTCCTCTGTAGATAATTTGGGGAGGTTATGTCTTCTGTAGATAATTTGGGGAGGTTATGTTTTCTGTAGATAATGTGGGGAGGTTATGTCCTCTGTAGATAATGTGGGGAGGTTATGTATTCTTTAGATAATGTGGGGAGGTTATGTCTTCTGTAGATACTGTGGGGAGGTTTTGTCTTCTGTAGATAATGTGGGGAGGATATGTCTTCTGTAGATAATGTGGGGAGGTTATGTCTTCTGTAGATATGTCATTTGTAGATAATGTGGGGAGGTTATGTCTTTTGTAGATAATGTGGGGAGGTTATGTCCTCTGTAGATAATGTGGGGAGGTTATGTCTTTTGTAGATAATGTGGGGAGGTTTTGTCTTCTGTAGATAATGTGGGGAGGATATGTCTTCTGTAGATAATGTGGGGAGGATATGTCCTCTGTAGATAATGTGGGGAGGTTATGTCTTCTGTAGATAATGTGGGGAAGTTATGTCTTCTGTAGATATGTCTTCTGTACATAATGTGGGAAGGTTATGTTTTCTGTAGATATTGTGGGGAGGTTATGTCCTCTGTAGATAATGTGGGGAGGTTATGTCCTCTGTAGATAATGTGAGGAGGTTATGTCTTCTGTAGATAATGTGGGGAGGTTATGTCTTCTATAAATAATGTAAGGAGGTTATGCCTTCTCTTAGATAATGTGAGGAGGTTATGTCTTCTGTAGATAATGTGGGGAGGTTATGTCTTCTGCAGTCAAAATCAATTACTTTCCAAGGGAAAATTTACTACAACACATTACCGTAAAAAAAAAACTGCAAAGTCACCTCAGATATTGTGAAAGTTGAATGACTACATAGTTTTGTTCACAATATAAGTACTGTACTCCACAAAGTTTACAATTAGAAATCTTCTTGAGTGTTAATGAAGTTATTTAACATCAATTTGCTAGTCAAGTTTGCTCTTCACACAAGATTAAAAACAAATACAGATTAACTTTGGTATCACTAACACTGATATCTCGAATATCATGGATATGTCGAAGTGATTTGGAGGTCCCTATCGCTTATTCCTTAAGTATTTTGCAATGGATGTGTTGAACCTTCGGATATCTCGAAGTATTTTCTTGGCCGCATCGGTTTCGAGTTAACAAGGTTTGACTGTAGACATAAATAGTTTATGTAGTTCTTACCTTCTGAGACAAAATGGACTTAAAAAATCAAAATAATCTGCGATGCATCCACTAAAACAGATGAGCATCCCTTTAGATTTAAAATACCTATTTTATCTTTAAAGTAACTCTGAAAACTGTGTGCCAGATTTTTTCCTGACATAAAATTCAAGCATCTACCATACTTAAAAATTTAAGTATTTCACCTTTAGTTTTATTACATTGTAATACATTAATGTCACTATTAGTCCTTGTTTTGAAGATAAAACCATGATTTTAAATATATTTTCAGAGTATATAATATCAGACATAAATAACAGAATCTACTCCCAACTGTTTGAAATAGGACCCTACTGATCGGCATTTTTTGATTAAGGTCTTCTGTCTTCAATGAAAGATCTTATTATTAATCTTTTGTTTCTTTTCTCGTTTTCTATCCTTACTAATTTGTGCAAGTGAATTCTTGTGAGCACTTAAATGGATTTTCATGAAACTTTTCAGCAATTATGGATAATCATCTGAACTTACGGCTTTTTTTAAATTTTGATATCGCTTCCGTTCACAAGTTATAGCTGATTTTTTGTTTTATTAAAATTAAATTTTTGTAATTCACAATTATTGTTCCACTTTATCCATAGATGTTATATAAATTGGTTCAGTCTCTCGGCAGGGATGCTCACTCCTCCATGGCACCTGATCCCACCTCTGATGTTTGGAGGTCCGTGTTTGCTCTGCTCCTATTTTGTATTGTATAATGGACTTTTGAGCTTGAATACTGTTCGTTATCTCCATATATTTCACATGGAAATGAAACTATGGATGAAACAGATAGCAATAGGTCACCTGTCTCAAGTGACCTAAAAAGAGGAGTTTCAAAAAGTAACAGGTGACCCATGGTCAACTGTATCTCTGATATTTCACCAATTTTTGATTAATATAGACCAGACCTCTTTAATTTGACTACTTTTCTTAGTTAATCAATGTAGTCTCTCATAAGTAGATATTGCATGATGTAGTCTACACCAGGTATTCTGTACCCACTAATTCCTTATCTGGAATTGATGTACATGTAATCTACACCAGGTATTCTGTACCCACTAATTCCTTATCTGGAATTGATGTACATGTAATCTACACCAGGCATTCTGTACCCACTAACTCCATATCTGGAATTGATGTACATTTGTACATGTAATTTACACCAGGCATTCTGTACCCACCAACTCCACATCTGGAATTGATGTACCTGTAATTTACACCAGGTATTCTGTACCACTAACTTCTTACCTGGAATTCCTCCCAGTCCTCGCTCTCCTACCTCACCCTTCATTCCGTTCAGCCCTGGGAAGCCATCTGACCCTGGTAATCCATTTCGTCCTATAATTCAAATTAACATTACATTTAATAAGCCATATCTCTTTAGAATATATAAGATCAGTCAGTCTAATCTATTTTACAAATCATATCATACCAGTCAAAATATGCAGAATTTTTATGTTCTACCTCTGGACTGTAGATTTTTTGTAATTTCTATGTTATATCTTACAAAAAACTGAATCTTGAAGAGTGAATAGGTGTACTTTAAGCTGAATATGTAACAAGCACTTCAATACAACCATATGTTTACTAAATTGTGCAAAAAATATAACCCATCATGATTTTTGCACTGTAAGTGAAGTCCTATCTTAGAACACAGTCTCTTTTTTTAGTAACAGTTTACCACTGCTATGTTTACCTCGTTCTCCTGGGATGGATATCCCCACTTCTCCACGTTCTCCCTTCAGCCCAGGCAGTCCATTTTGTCCAGGCCTTCCAACTGTCCCATCTTCACCTGTGATTGAAAATAGAAGCATGGTAATTCACCTGTCCATTAGTATACAGGAGCAACATATAACTAGGTGAATCAAAGTTATTTCCCTTACATTCCGATCCAAATACATTTTTTAAAGTGACACCGTGACGGAAAAATGGGAAAATTGACAAAAGTAGAATTTTTGCATGACACATGCAAATTTTGTTTAGTTCTTGAAGATATTAGGTTTCAGAAAATTACAGGTTTCAGAACCTAAAATATCTACTTTTATGGAGAAAAATAAAAGTAAAAAAAATCTTTGTATAACCCAACACAAAAATATTGCTTCACTCTTTCCACTTTATTGTACGCAATTGCGCTGAAAAGTTGAAGAATTTACCATGGTGTCAATTCCATAGATATAAATGTCAGATGACCAGGAATTTTGATACAATCTTCAAAAAAGATTATCAGAAAATATTCCTAACTTTTGCTTGCTCCAATTCAATGTTGTTTACAAGATTCACGCTAAAAATAAAGGACGCGTGACCTTGACATTGTTGACATTGAGGATAAAAATTACGCGATAGATACAACACTTGTTTTTCCGGAACTTACATTTTGCAGTTCTTTTCTTGCTTTACAGTGCAGCTGAGTTTTCAAAACTTTGCTATATTCATATTTCACATAAATCTTTTGTTTTGTGATACAATTATCTTAAAAGAAACACGAGTTTGACTCATTATGTAACTTTAAGTGAAAACAGAAAACAAACTGATAATGCCAAAATTCTAGTCCATTGAATTTTATCAAGAAAGGAATAATACTTTAATTAAGGTCAGACGATACGTTCCTCAAATATCTGTTTTGCATATCTTCGTATTGTATGGAAACTATTCCAAATTTTAATTACCTTCTGATTTCTAAACTTGTTTCAAATTGTCTTTAAAAAATTGAAACACTAAAAAAATGTGATATTGGCAAATCAAGTTTTTTCCAAAAGAATTTTATAGGAAACAACATCCTCTGGTATCTTGCACAATTGCCTGGTAAGGTACCTCAATTTTTTGCAAGTAAACATGTTAAAGTAGCATTACTTCAATGACAAATTCTTAGAAAAAATTATACATTATTGAGGAACGTATCGTCTGTCCTTAAGTGCCTGTGGGTTGTACACACTTTTTTTTTAAGGTTTATTTTCAATAAATGACTAAGTTTTCTTGGTTTTCCTAATCAGTAAATGATTAGTATTCCTGATATGTACCTGGAAATCCATTGTCTCCTGTGATTCCAGGTAACCCTGGCAGACCAGGTTGACCTCTGTCACCTTCAACCCCTGGGAATCCCACCTCTCCGGGTTCTCCATTTAGCCCTGGACGTCCAAACTCTCCTGGAAATCCGGGAAGTCCAGGTTCTCCCCTTTCTCCTAATAAAGGTTATAAACAGTACATGTATATTTTTTAAGTATTCTTATGATCTTACATTGAATGTATATTTTTAGCAAAGCCTTTTATCACATGAACTCTGCAGTGAAAGACCTACATTTAAAATACATGTTATATAATCACAGGAATTTACAGTTATGAAAAATTATACATAGTGTTTTCTGCATGGTATGTCTGTATATACATGTACCCAAATATTTTCAGTCTTCAAAGTATTTGTATAGAACAAACAAGATTTGTTTGTAAAACAGTGATGCCCCCATATGTGAAAGTTTTTCAAAAGTAGGCCAAACTACCAGGTCAAAGTCATGAAGTCAGAAATAATAGGACCCAAAGAAAGGTTGTCACAAGGAATACATACCTTTATTTATAGCTTGTTATATTCAATTAAGTCATAAATTCATTAGAGTCATGAACTTGGCCTCTTTTTTTTCAAAACCAGTCCTAGCATTTTTTGTGCAGATTTCTCTAGCTTCGGAGGGACATGTATATCCAATGCTTCATAACAATTTCCAACAATAAGTGGACAGTATTCTAGAAGGACACGAACCTTTTACTCCTGGTATTCCTGGTTGTCCAGGCAGACCTGGTTCCCCGGTTCTTCCTTGGAATCCAGTTTCTCCCTTCATTCCAGGTAGTCCTAAAAATAGTACATAGGTTAAATGAGACTACCTTTTACATCAGAGATGGCATGGTGATCAAGCATTTATCAGTTCTAATGCATGTATCTCAGCATAAACCATATTTGTTGCACTTGCTCTACATGTTTTCTAAATTAACTACAAAGTACTGAACTTATATCTAAAACTTAAAATAAATGGTATGTACAGTACCAACCAGACACAACCTAACACCAGAGCGAACCCAAAGCGCACCCCGGGTTCGCTTTCTGGGTTCGCTCGGGGTCCGCTTTCAGAAATTCTGGGTGCACTCTGGGTTCGCCTTGGGTGCGCTTCGGGTTCGCTCTGGGTCAGCTCTGGGTCCGCTAGAGCGAACCCAGCGTTTGCTTTCTGGGTTTGCTTTACACACTGAAGCGTGAAGCGGACCTCGCTTTAATCTTGCCGCGAGTAAGCCCCGCCCCTTGTATATTCCAAAATACAGTATTGAAATCGATCATTGTTGTTTTTGTGGTGATCGATACATGAACATGTACAGTGACTGCAACATTATTGTTGACAACATATACAAGAACAATTCCGCACGATTAAACCTGTTACACAAACGATCCTTCAAGTACACGATTCTTCACGTTACACAATCATTCACGATTATTAAAGCAAACGCACAATATTTACGCCAAAAAGTTAAAAATAGAAAGGAGTTGATATTTTTAAAACGAAATAAGGCTTAATTGATAGATATTTTAGATTAAAAATAATTATTGGATTATTCATCGACTTTGGAAAACAGTAAAAAATTTTTAGAAATGGATATTTTTGAACTTACATGTAAATAAGACTTAATACATGTAGTTATTTTAGATTACAAATGATTATGTAATTCTCCGACTTTGGAAAATTGTCTTTTTTAAAATCTTTTTGATACTTAAAGATGTAATTTATGATCGAATGCTGCATGTTCTATCACATGATATAGGTGTGCCGTGAGTTTTGATTCAATTGGATTTTATTATATGCAGTAAGGGGGTATAAGATTTTTAAAAGATGGCCAAAAAATGATTTTAAACTATATCCGTCTTTCCATTTATGAATTTCAAAAATCAGCAATTTTTTTTATTCATTCATTTGCTGAAATTATATATCAAAAAAATAATAATAAGCATCCGGGATTAAAAGTAACCCCAACAATCATGTCGTGTACATTTGCCGACTAAATATTTATGTAATTTGTGGAAATTTTTTTTCAATGTACATTTTTGATGTATTGATATAAAACAATCAAGACCACAATTAGCAGTTAATATAATAAACTTCAGAGAAAAATTGTAAAAATATCTTAAATACGCTTTATCATAAAAAGTTACACTATTTTAAGAGAATACAATACTGTACGACTTACTATACTGCTTATTTACTACCGATAATTAGTTTGTTCAATTATGTAAATCGCGCTTCATTTTTATTTCCTTTTATTTCAGTTTAAAAAAAAAAACAAACAAACAAGCTAATTAAAGCTTCACATTATTTTTCTTGTAGAAGATAAATCAAAATAATACCATAGTTGTTTATGATCGGACATACATGTACATTCATTTTTTTTTTTCATTTTCAATTAAGAAGATCAATAATTTGAATGTTGATCTGGATTTAAACGAAAATATAAATTAGAATTATAAAAATAAAATAATTGAATGAAAGCATGTACATGTACATATACATTATCTTGTACAGTAACTTGAGATGATGAAATGCAATGATTTGTCAAAAACCTTTTTTTCATTTTTAGTAACAATTGTAATAACGATTATCTTCTTTTTTTCTTTTATACATGAAAGTATGTTTTGTCTGATAAATTGACGAAATGTTAATAGATTTTAAAAATAAAAAATAAAGAAAATAAATATGTAAAAATAACATGCTACCTGGATAATTAAAATATAAATAAATTTTTTTTAATCATGTTAATAATAGTTTCACACTTTACATTAACACGCTTTGCTTCTACAATGTTTTATTACATCGAATAACAAACTGGCATGCTGATGGGTCAACGCGCTGATTGATTAACACGTCTTATCGCTAATCAACATTGACAGCTCTGTTACACAACACCAAACGCGCCTTCGCTTTCTGGGTTCGCTACTGAATTTGGGGTTCGCTTTCGGCGTTTGCTCTGGGTCTGCTGCGGGTTCGCTCGGGGTCCGCTCCGGTTTCACTCGGGGTCAGCTATAGCGAAACCGAAGCGAACCCAGAAAGCGAACCCCGGGTGCGCTCTGGGTTCGTTTTCTGTTAGGTTATGTCTGGTCGGTACTGTACAACAAAATTTATACAAAATTTGATCAAGTTTCACAGAAAACTAATCATGTGGATCTTACAATCTATAGACAGTAACTAGAAAACTGACCAGTCAGCAAGGGCCCCGCCGAGGGGTAGAAATATAAGGGTGCAGCTTACAGAATGAGAATTTTAATTGATTACAAAAATTAAAAAATATATGAAGAAGAATATGCAATAACAACTGTATTTATAAAATTTCAAGATAATTCCTAAATATCCAACTACCTGTAAAGAGTATCCCTGTATTTACATAAGGCAGTAAAAAACATATCTATAATAACTCAATTAAATGTATATTTAAACAAGAATAAAGCATGTGTTTTATAAAATGCCAGCCTTCAGTGAACGCAAATATCACCCAGGCTTGACCTTAACTTCAAAACAAACATCAGTTGCAGACAAAGGTTAATTTATCTTAAAGTGACAAATAAAGATAAGCTTGGAAAATTTTCTGCCCCAGACAAGATAATTAATCCCAGGGGATTAATTGTACTGCTCTCTCATCCTTTTCTTCCAAGTTTACAATAAGAACTTTTTCAGTAATGATAGAATGAGTTCATTATCGGACTACCTGTTAAAATTAATAGTACATGTATTCTTGAATTTACATAAGGCAGCAAAAAAAAAAAATGAATAAATAAATAATAAAAAAAAACAAAAAAACATATCTTGATGTATATCTTGTCTTTAGAATTCAATAAAATCATAACTCATTGTGTATTTTACCAAAATAAAGTATGAACATTATTTAAATCCACATTTCAGAGAATGTAAACATCATTCAGAATTGACCTTAACTTCAAAACAAACTTCATTTACAGACAGAGGTGTTAATTAATCTCAATTTGACAGAAACAGATAATGCTTTGGATTTTCTTCTAGAGGAAAGCTAATTTATCCCATGGGACTAGTTGCAGTTTTCATACTTTACAATAGGAACATTCTCAGCAGTTATCTCTCTATGCCCTGGCATTCTTCTAATGTAAAGTTAAGGAATCTACCCCACCACCCCAGCTCCAAACTAGATGACATAGAGAACCAAACTTAGTACCAAAATATGTCTTACTGCCTCTTCAACCAACATACCAAATTTGAACTTAATTGGTCAACTACAAAAAAAGTTATTAGAAAAAAACGGAAAATTTGTGGACGGAAGAATGACAGACGGACAGACAGACAGACGGACGGACAGACAGATGGACAGACAGACAGACAGACAGAGTGATTACTATAGGGCACCCGCAAATCCTTGCTGGGCCCTAATAAGCTGTACTTGCCATCAAAACCCGGCAATCCATTTAATCCTGGCTCTCCCGGTTGTCCCTCACGACCCGGAACTCCATCCAATCCATCTCCTCCAGGTATACCCCTCTCACCCTTTAATCCATCTCTTCCTGGTAACCCTGGCAACCCTGGGTCTCCAGGTGCACCAACTAAACCACTCTCTCCTAAAACCAACAAAATAATGACAAAATATGTCATTATCAACAACAAAATGATAGTGATATAAATACAACAACTCAATCCACAAAACAATAAATTTGTATTGTAATCTAATTCTCAGCTACATACATAATTTAAACAATAAAATGCTTTCTTTGGTTGTTAGTATGGGAATTAATGTTGCAGCTGTTGCAGAAAAAATGCATAACCCAAGAAAGCGCCGGGTTACAGTATGTAAATTTTTTCTGCAATGCTAATTCCCATACAAACGAACAAAGAAAGACAATATTTATGATAGAATAAACTGCTGGTATATACACTAAAAAATTATATGAAATAAATATAACTTTATAGTATAGGTTTTTCTGTTTTTTGATCCTCAGATTCTGAAAATCAGGAGTTAGTAATTGAAAATGCTCACAAAAATGTATCTGAATTCTCAATGTGTATTAACCCATGGTATTTCTTCAAATTTCAAAAATATTATCAGGAAATGTGAATAAAAGCACCCTCTGTGCACTGTCTGATTGAAAATTAATCAATAAATATATTTTAGGATAAAACACTATAGGTATCCAGGCCTCTGGAGAAAATTGCATGTTTTTAAAACTCAAATGTCACTTAAGTTCTTCTATTTACTTCAATTGTTATGTAATACTGGTACATAGTGTATAATCATAATTACATAAAGCTTGTGCTATCATTGGATCACATCACAGATCACTTCTTATTTCATATCATGCTAATAAACATTAAGTATCTAAGGTCAGATTAAAGGACATTTGATTTCTCTAAAAATGAATTTATTATTGTATTTTTATAGAGTACAAATGTAAACTTTTTACAAGACCATTTCTTACACTTCAAAGAACTTTGAATCATACTGAGATGCATGAAATGGAAATTGTAACACAACAAGAGGCCCACGGGCCACATCGCTCACCTGAGCACATTGGCTAGGAAAAAGCACAAATCACTTCAGTATTGAAAAGTTTAAAGGGGAGGGGGCTTGGATTTTGAACTACCTGAGGATGCTTCCATATCAATATAACAAATGGCTTTACTGTTCTTGAGCAGAAGATTTTTAAAGATTTTTTTCCTATATATTCCCTTGTTAAAAATTTGATCCCCCATTGTGGACCCTCCCTAACCCCCCCCCCCCCCCCATATCATTTGAACAAACTTGAATCTACACTACCTGAGGATGCTTCCATATCAATATGACTAAACATGTCTTTTCTGTTGATGAAAAGATTTTTTCCTATATATTCCTATGTAAAAATTTGATCCCACATTGTGGCCCCACCCTAACCCTGGGGGTCATGATTTGAACAAAGTTAAATCTACACTATCTGAGAATGCTTCCATATCAATATGACTTAACAAGGCTTTGCTGTTCTTGGGAAGAAGATTTTTCAAGTTTTTTTTTCTGTATATTCTTATGTAAAACTTTGATTGCCCCTTGTGGCCCCACCCTACCCCGAGGGGTCATGATTTGATACAAACTTGAATCTTCCCTACCTGAGGATGAATCCACATCAATATGACTAACTGTGACTTTGTTGTTCTTGAGAAGAAGATTTTTCAAGATTTTTTTCTACATATTTCTATGTAAAATTTTGATCCCCCATTGTGGCCCCACCCTACCCCTGGGGGTCATGATTTGTACAAAATTTAATCTACACTACCTGAGAATGATTCCATATCAATATGACTAATTGAGGCTTTGTTGTTCTTGAGAGAAAGATTTTTAAAGATTTTTTTCTATAAATTCCTATGTAAAATTTTGATCCCCCATTGTGCCCCCCCCCCCTCGCCCGGGGGTCATGATTTTGTACAAACTTGAATCTACACTATCTGAGGATGCTTCCATATAAATTATGACTAATTGTGGCTTTGTTGTTTTTAAGAAAAACAATTTCAAGATTTTTCCTACATATTTCTATGTAAAACTTTGATCCCCCATTGTGGCCCCACCCTACCCTGGGGGTCATGATTTGAATAAATTTGAATCTGCACTACCTGTGGATGATTCCATATAAATATGACTAATTGTGGCTTTGTTGTTCTTGAGAAGAAGATTTTTACAGATTTTGTTCTATATATTCCTATGTAAAACTTTGATTCCTCATTGTGGCCCCACCCTACTCCCAGGGGTCATGATTTGAACAAACTTGAATCTGCACTACCTGAGGATGATTCCGTATCAATATGCCTAATTGTGGCTTTGTTGTTCTTGAGAAAAAGATTTTTAAAGATTTTTTCTACATATTCCTATGTAAAATTTTGATCCCCCCTTGTGGCCCCACCCTACCCCTGGGGGTCATGATTTGAACAAACTTCAATCTACACTACCTGAGGATGATTCCATATCAATATGACTAATCGTGGCTTAGTTGTTCTTAAGGAGAAGATTTTTAAAGATTTATTCCTATATATTCCTATGTAAAACTTTGATCCCCCATTGTGGCCCCACCCTACCCCAGGGGGTCATGATTTGAACAAACTTGAATCTACACTATGTAATGAAGGTCTCACATAAGTTTCAACTTTTACAGCCCAGTGGTTCTTGAGAAGAAGATTTTTAAAAGATACCACTAAATTATCACTAATTCTTAATTATCTCCCCTTGAAAGAGGGTGTGGCCCTTCATTTGAACAAACTTAAATCCCCTTTACCCAAGGATGCTTTGTGGCAAGTTTGGTTGAAATTGGCCCAGTGGTTCTTGAGAAGAAGATGAAAATGTGAAAAGTTTACAACAACAACGACAACGACGACAGACAACGGACAAATTTTGATCAGAAAAGCTCACTTGAGCCTTTGGCTCAGGTGAGCTAAAAAGATTTAAAGCTTCATTTTGAATTTTTTTTAATCAAATAATAAATTAAAGAGTTATCTTTCCTAACTGAGGGGTGAATAGAAACACACTAGATCGGTCCATCAGCAAATTTATGTCAACATTACCTAGCTGTTCTTTAAATACATGTAAAATGACTCAGGCAATGGAGAAATCAAGTTTGTGTATTAAACAAGTGGACTCGGATTGGATAGTTTACCTGGGATGCCATCTTGTCCTCTGAATCCTTTGGGTCCAGGAAATCCAAAAATAACACCTCCCTGCTCTCCTTTTAATCCAGGGAATCCAGGCGCTCCATAGGGACCACTCTCACCTGACAACATCATCATAACAAAGTAAAAATACATATTTTTGTGGGGATGAATCTCCTCATTTTTCTTTATCAAACCTTTTCTTTGGGGCATTACTTTGAAGCGATATTGATTAATTTTACATGAAAAAAAATTGTTAATAAAATAAAATTTTCAAATAAATTTGATTCAAATCCAAGTGAAATAGCAAAAAAAAAAAAAAAAAAAAAAAAACCCAGACAGGATGATCAATTGATTTTGATAATGCATACTAGTGATAAAACAGTGATTATTAAATTTGAAAATTCAAAATAAAGCCCCAAAACTTTTGAGATAATGAATTTGTCAAATTTTTGCTTTCTAAAATTTCCTTGAAATGTAATCAGAATAGAACTGAACTCCTCCATAGGCTAATTCAAAATGAAAGCAATCATTAGCCTCCCAATCAAGCTTATGGAAGGGTCTCAAAAAAGGACACTTTTCATATTGTTTAATTCAGGGTACCCTTAAGATAGTCACCTCATAATTATGGTAGCACAGAGAACTATGCAACACTGCTATATATAAATTTTAATTAGATATTTTACCTCTCATTCCCTTTTGCCCATCATATCCAGGTCTTCCTACACGGCCAATTTCTCCAGGGAAACCCCTTTCTCCCTCCCTGCCAGGGAAGCCTGGTTCTCCCTGCTCCCCCTTCAGAAGTTCGACAGGAGGTGCATCCAGTCCAGGAATACCTTGATCTCCCTAGAAAATTCACATCCATTAAATAAAATGCACTGTCATGATTTCAAGATTGCCAGGTGTCATAAATACAAAGAAAAATTCAAAGGAAAACTACATGTACAAATTTTGTGAACCACTTGTTCCGAAAACCTTACACAGAAGAGGCAAACTTACCGGTAACCCTGGCAGTCCCACCACACCTGATTCACCTGGAACACCTGCTTGGCCAGGTAGACCAGGTAGTCCTGCAAACCCTGGCACTCCAGGGAATCCCTTGATACCCACACGGCCCCTCTCACCAGGAATTCCTCGTCGACCACTCTCTCCTTTCATCCCAACTCGTCCGACTTCACCAGGTATACCAACAAGGCCGGGCTCCCCTTTCATTCCTACAAAAGAGCTATAAGATTAAATCCTAATTTAAAATATCTGGAATATTAACTTACAGAAAAGTTAATAGTGAAAGTAGTAACAGTGATATCATGCTTAGAACTAATTCATGTTTTCACCCAGGTGTATAAAATAAGTTGTTAATTGGACATAACAGAAAAATACGGATATATTGAGAAAGCAATTTCAGCTGTCCTTGGCATTTCCAATCCTTTAATGAAGATTGTTCTTCCAATGTGTTGAATCTGCTGTATTCCATTTTAAAAAGTTCAATTCAAATAATAATTTTTATTCAATGTTTTTAAACTTTTTTTAAATTTTGGAAGAAAACAAACAAGAGGCCCATGGGCCACATCGCTCACCTGAGTAACTTTGGCCATGCTGTTCTTTACCAGATTTCCCCCCTTGTAATACTATTGTGGCCCTGCCCTATTTCCAGGGGTCATGATTTGAACAATTTAGAATCTACACTACCCCAGGATGCTTCCACATAAGTTTCACCTTTTCTGGCCCAGTGGTTCTTGAGAAGATTTTTTTTCTGCATATTTCATTGTAAAACTCGGGTTCCCTTTTGTGGCCCCACCCTACCCCCGGGGGTCATGATTTGAACAATTTAGAATCTACACTTTCCCAGCATGCTTTCACATAAGTTTCAGCTTTTTTGGCCCAGTGGTTCTTGAGAAGAAGATTTTTAATGACCCCACTCTATTTTGTCTTTTCTTGATTATCTCCCTTGTAAGGAGACTTGGCCCTTTCTTTTAACAATTTAAACTCCCCTTCACCCAAGGATACTTTGTACCAAGTTTAGTTAAAATTGGCCAAGTGGTTCTTGAGAAGAAGTTGAAAATGTGAAAAGTTTACAGACGGACGGACGATGGACAATGGGTGATCAGAAAAGCTCACTTGAGCTTTCAGCTCAGGTGAGCTACAAAAAAATTTTGGAAACATTCTGAAAAGTTATCCAAAATTCCTGATACACTGTAAGAATCAAACAATTATATGCAGCTCTATTTGTATCCCTATATTAGCCTATTTTTATGTGATATATACAGGTAAACATTGATATTTTTAACCTGGTAATCCTGAGAATCCATCCCGGCCGTCCTGTCCTGGAATTCCCATAACTCCAGGCTCTCCCTTCTTTCCTGGGGGAATGTTGATTCTGGAGGGTTCACCTTTGTCTCCTGCAGATCAGGTAAAAAAAGAAATCTTTTAAGAAACAATTCCTGTCATTTGAACATTAAAATACGAAACTAATGGCAAGAAGCAACATGCAATTTTCCAAATGTGGGCATTAGAAAGTGTATTTGTGAATTTTCATTTGTTTATGTATTTCATTTGTCATTTTGTTTCTTTCTTTCTTTTTTGGAGAGGGGGATATCATCTTATAGAATCTAAAAAACGAAATGGCATGCCTTCCCTCCTTACTTATTCTATATACTGCCTTGGTAAAAAGATGCTACCTTTTAATCCAGGTGGCCCCTCATAACCATCCAGTCCAGGAAATCCTTTAGGTCCAGAGCGTCCAACTTCTCCAGGAATGGAATCTCCAAATTCACCAGGCAGGCCATCTTCCCCTTGTAGTCCAGGCAAGCCATCTAAGCCCTCTAAACCTGGGTCTCCAACCATACCCTGGAAATATCAACAATATCTATATGCATGTATTTAAACAATTAAATTTCTTTCCATAATGCCATCTCTTTTGTCTATCTTTATCTCCATTCATGATGACATGTTTTCAATACGTTTTGTGATTTATAGAGTCCAAGATTAAGTAGCTTTGTTTGAGAAATGTTGCATACAAAAAAATCTTTTTAAAATACTGTATAATTTTGAAATTTTTGCCCCTTTCATCCTACTCACAGGTGGGTGAATTTAAAAATGGGGTGAATTCAAAAAACACAGTATAAATTTTCTTAAACAGAACTGTGATAGGGTGAATTTAAAATGGGGTAAAATTATCAAATTATTTGCAAGTGTGAAAGGGCAAAATAACCCTGTATACAGTAGTCAGTTTTCTGTAAATTTTTGGGCTATTATTGATGGACTTTTGCCATTTATATCATCTATTCATCATTTATTTAAAAAATTACGTCTTTCTAAACAAAGCCCAAATGGACTGTCAATTATCTAAAAAGGTTGCACACCACTGATTTCAGTGGTGTGCAACTAGAAGGTGTGACTAAATGCAACAAACTTATTAATTTTATGCACAATGTGCTGGTACTATTTCCAGTTCATTTATTCTGTGCATTATCTATATACTTTTTTTTTTATTTCGTATCATTCTAGATCCATAGAGTTGAAAAAATGTAAAGCAAGTAGAACTGTAAGACAACAAATTTTCATCATACAAGTCCTACTTCTCAAAAGCTAACAAAGTCCTACTTCTTAAAAGCTAACAGACTATGAAAGGAAATTTGATTTTTCTTTTACATGAAGTAGTTACTCTTACCCTTTCTCCAGGTATCCCAGAGAAACCTGGGGGTCCGCGGGGGCCACCGGGTCCTGGTGATCCTGCTCTGCCAACTGGTCCCCTTGGTCCCTGCTCACCAGGCTTCCCCTTCATTCTTAGGGTGGAGGGGACTTCCAAATCCCCAGGCTCACCTTTAGGTCCAACCCTACCAACTTCTCCAGGAAAACCATCTGGACCCTGAAAGTTTTATCCAACTTCAGTGCAGTTTTCAAAAATACAAAATTACGATAAACCCTTATTCAGGTAAAAAATTAAATCAGCTCATTTGAGCCTTTGGCTTGGGTGAGCTAAAAAAAATCAAAGGTTAAGGGGAGCATTCCAACAATTTTGATATTGAACTGTCTATCGGTCCAATCTTTAAAATTATTGGACTCTTACATTACATCTACAGTAAATTCTCAATTAATCACCACCTTTTGTAATTTAGAATTCAATGTGCTATAACAAATTTGGGATGAATTGAATTTCCCATCTTTGGGGAAACAAGAAGTAGAGTTACCATTCTTAGAAATTTAGCATTTATTTTCTTAGTAGTATTTATTATAATATAAAAAACGCATCTCAAAATAAGAAAATGCTTCAAATAGCTTTTTTATGTATGATAATTTTGTTTCAAAAAATGCAGTGTGGATTGTCCTCTTCTATTGCCAATAATATGTATTGTTATATTCAGTAAAGAATAGTCCCTATATTCTCTATAAAGAGAATTAGTCAACGTAATTGATATTAGCTCCTCCGAAAAATATTGACCGGTCATTTAATTTTAACTATTGACCGACAAAGAGAGTATTCCCACATTTTTATTCATTTTGATTCTGATGAGAAGATAAGAAGATTGATTTACTGTGATGTCATGATACCTGCGCGACTTCCAAAAAACATAACGTCACAATAGACACCAAGTAACACAATCAAGGCAAGATTAGGTCTACACTGAAGATGCAGATAATTGATTTAAAACAAAATACTATTTTAATGATTTGTTTTTCATATAACAAAACAGTTATTGACTGTGTTTTCGGGCAACATTGATTATGTTTGTCTCCTCGGGATGAAAATATTGCCCTCCGCTCCACATTGGGCAATATTTCATCCCTTGGAGGCTAACATAATCAGTGTTGCCCCAAAACACAGTCAATATTTGTATAATATGAACTCCTGTACATACATTTGTTCAAGGCATTGTCATTGCTGAAACTTTCACAATTAATACTGCATCACTATTTTTAAAGCAAACTTTGCATCGTTTGAAGTAGGGATTGTCAAACCAATATAGTTGTTGGAGAACTTTAAGAACAATTGCTTGGCGAAGCCATGACTAAATCATTTTTATTAAACAGAAACCAATTTTTAAATTCCAGTTCATGTTTAATAAAATTTATTGTTTATTTAATTCTGTAATTACCTTGCCTGTTTTTTCAATGGTGATCTCGGTAGCGACAACCAATTAAACGCTTCATTGACTACATGCACCTTTGGCGGTATATTGAGATAACTAACACTTTGGAATGGACGTTTATTGTGAAAACAGGGTGGCGGATTGTGGTATGTGAATTTGGCATTATAAAGAAAATTTTATAAAGCAGGAAAACATTCCTGATAAATCATGGCATTATTGCGAGGATTGCATGAATCAAATGGCAATATTTCGAGAATTGACTGTATTTTATAGTCATTAATTTGCTTACACCATTTTCAAAGTACCGAATGTGAACTGGCACAAATTATCCTCTTACATACAGATGGCATCCCAATTGTCAAGTTATGGATGTATGTAACTTTATAAAAAACGAAAAAGTTATTGACTGAGATTTGAGCAACATATATTTTGTTGAAGAGTATTCCTAGCAACTACAGGTAACTGAAGCTTGTAATACTTTTACAATCTAAGACATTGGATAGATACATTTTTCATCTGGTTTCACTTACCGGTATGCCCTTTTGACCAGCTATTCCAGGTATGCCCCCTTCTCCTGGTTCTCCTGGTTGTCCTGGGAAACCTGGTTGACCTGGTCGTCCAGGAAGTCCATCGAAACCAGGATCGCCTGGATCTCCCCTAAAACCGGGCTCACCCCCAGGGCAAACTCCACAGTCTTCACCTCTTCTACCTGAAATTGGATAGGGAAAAAATTGCATGAAGAAAAAAGACTTATTGGCTTTACAACAAAGCTAGTTAATTCATGGTGAAAAGGGAAAACCTTGATAGGTTCACATGTATTGTGATTGAACGAAAGGTTAATGATCCACAATGCCTATTATTACCATACACCCCATTGACACAGCTATTTAACATTTTAAGTCAATCCTTTTTAGTTTCCTAAGATATCCACAAACATGACAATGCTATCATTTTATTTAGATCTGCTCTGATTTTACACAAGCCTACTAGTCAAATGATGGTCAGAGGGTAAGAACCAGCTAACTAGCCTTCATAAAGCACAGCATAGTCAGCTGTCTAACAGGTAAGAGCAGTAAAATTCAGATTTTGAATAACAACTCTTTCAAGTTGGTGCTATAGTATTAAAGCTCATTATTATTTAACAAATTCAACATTTTTTTCAAACTATCTATTAATATATTGAAAAGAAAAAAGACACACCTCTTTCTCCTGGGATTCCATCACGCCCATCCTCTCCAGAGATTCCTGGATCTCCCTCCTCTCCGGGAAATCCTGAAGGACCTCTTGGACCAGTAACATCCAGACCATCTCCAGGGATTCCAGGGAATCCCTCAGGACCAGGTTCTCCCCTAGTACCAGGAAGTCCATCGAGACCAGGTCTTCCTACTCGGCCCTGTTCACCGGGGTATCCTTGAACTGTTTCTCCAGGTGGTCCCAAATCTCCTGGCACTCCTTTTAATCCAGGTATTCCAGGCAATCCAGGCACTCCATCAAGACCAAAGCCACCTTGAATAAAATAAGTAATCATTGCTTGAGCTTAGAAAATGTTAATTAGGGTTTGAGAAAATACAAACAAGTGCACAATGCTATGATTATTCAAGGAAAACAAGAAGTCTGTGAGCCAATGCTCACTAATAATGCCCCCGCTCTGATGTGAATACACAAGTTCAGTTATGGACAAACACAGTGATAATCAAGAAATTGACATTGGATTTGTAAACAAGAGGCCCATGGGCCACATCGCTCACCTGAGTAACTTTGGCCATGCTGTTCATTACCAGACTTCCCCCCTTGTAATACCTATTGTGGCCCCGCCCTACCCCCAGGGGCCATGATTTGAACAATTTAGAATCTACACTACCCCAGGATGCTTCCACATAAGTGTCAGTTTTCTGGTCCAGTGGTTCTTGAGAAGATTTTTAAAGATTTTTCCTATATATTTCAATGTAAAACTTGGATTCCCTATTGTGCCCCCCCCCCCATCCCCTCATGATTTGAAAAATTTAGAGTGAACACTACTTGAGGATGCTTCCACATAAATTTCAGCTTTTCTGGCTCAGTGGTTCTTGAAAAGAAGATTTTTAAAGATTTTTCCTATATATTTCAATGTAAAACTTGTATTCCCTATTGTGGCCCCGCCCTACCCCCGGGGGTCATGATTTGAACAATTTAGAATCTACACTACCCAAGGATGCTTCCACATAAGTTTCAGCTTTTCTGGCCCAGTGGTTCTTGAGAAGAAGATTTTTCAAGATTTTTCCTATATATTTCAATGTAAAACTTGGATTCCCTATTGTGGCCTCACCCTACCCCCGGGGGTCATGATTTGAACAATTTAGAATCTACACTACCCAAGGATGCTTCCACATAAGTTTCAGCTTTTCTGGCTCAGTGGTTCTTGAGAAGAAGATTTTTAAAGATTTCTCCTATATATTTCAATGTAAAACTTGGATTCCCTATTGTGGCCTCGCCATACCCCCGGAGGTCATGATTTTAACAATTTAGAATCTATTCTACCCAAGGATGCTTCCACTTAAGTTTCAGTTTTTCTGGCTAAGTGGTTCTTGAGAAGAAGATTTTTAAAGATTTTTCCTATATATTTCAATGTAAAACTTGGATTCCCTATTGTGCCCCCCCCCCATCCCCTCATGATTTGAAAAATTTAGAGTGAACACTACTTGAGGATGCTTCCACATAAATTTCAGCTTTTCTGGCTCAGTGGTTCTTGAAAAGAAGATTTTTAAAGATTTTTCCTATATATTTCAATGTAAAACTTGTATTCCCTATTGTGGCCCCGCCCTACCCCCGGGGGTCATGATTTGAACAATTTAGAATCTACATTACCCAAGGATGCTTCCATGTAAGTTTCAGCTTTTCTGGCCCAGTGGTTCTTAGGAAGAAGATTTTTCAAGATTTTTCCTATATATTTCAATGTAAAACTTGGATTCCCTATTGTGGCCCCGCCCTACCCCCGGGGGTCATGATTTGAACAATTTAGAATCTACACTATCCCAGGATGCTTCCATGTAAGTTTCAGCTTTTCTGGCCCAGTGGTTCTTGAGAAGAAGATTTTTTTAAGACCCCACCCTATTTTTGTCTTTTCTTGATTATCTCCCCTTGTAAGGGGACTTGGCCCTTTATTTTAACAATTTAAGCTCCCCTTCCCCCAAGGATACTTTGTATTAAGTTTAGTTAAAATTGGCCCAGTGGTTCTTGAGAAGAAGTTGAAAATGTGAAAAGTTTACAGACGGACGGACGGACAGACGGACGGACAATGGGTGATCAGAAAAGCTCACTTGAGCTTTCAGCTCAGGTGAGCTAAAAATGAATCCCATTATATGGCATGCCCAAACATTGTGCTAATATTTCAAGCATCTGCGATGAGTAGTTGCTGAGAAAACTACGACCAAAATTTGTTATGTATGGTACGGACAGATGCAAGGATAAACAGGAAGTTGACATCAGATTCGTACAAAAATGAATCCCACCATATGGCATGCCTAAACAAAGATTGTGCTAATATTTCAAGCATCTGCGATGAGTAGTTGCTGAGAAAACTACATCCAAAATTTGTTATGTATGGTACGGACAGATGCACGGATAAACAGGAAGTTGACATCAGATTCGTACAAAAATGATGAATCCCAACGTATGGCGTGCCTAAACAACAGTGTGTTAAAATTTCAAGCATCTGCGATGAGTAGTTGCTGAGAAAACTACGAATAAAATGTTTGTTATGTATGGTACGGACAGACGCATGAATAAACAGAAAGATGACATCGGATTCGTACAAAAATGAATCCCAACATATGGCATGCCTAAACAAAGATTGTGCTAAAATATCAAGCATCTGCGATGAGTAGTTGCTGAGAAAACTACGACCAAAATTTGTTATGTATGGTACGGACAGATGCACGGATAAACAGGAAGTTGACATCGAATTCGTACAAAAATGAATCCCAACATATGACATGCCTAAACAAAGAGTGTGTTAAAATTTCAAGCATCTGCGATGAGTAGTTGCTGAAAAAACTGCGACAAAAGTTTGTTATGTATGGTACGGACAGACGCACGGATAAACAGGAAGTTGACATTGAATTAGTACAAAAATTAATCCCACCATATGGCATGCCTAAACAAAGAGTGTGCTAAAATTTCAAGCATCTGCGATGAGTAGTTGCTGAGAAAACTATGACCAAAATTTGTTATGTATGATACGGACAGATGCACGGATAAACAGGAAGTTGACATCGAATTCGTACAAAAATAAATCCCACCTTATGGCATGCCTAAACAAAGATTGTGTTAAAATTTCAAGCATCTGCAATGAGTAGTTGCTGAGAAAACTGCAACCAAAATTTGTTATGGACAGACAGACACACACACAGATGGACAGACAGACAGACACACATGGGTAAAACAGTTTATCCCCCTCTCCTTCCGAGCGGGGGTATAATATAAATAATAAAACTAAATTTTTAGACTTTGTGCAAATCAACATAATAATCCTAAAAAAAAAAACCTTGGTCTCCCTTGTCTCCTGGATAGGAGAATCCAACAGGTCCTCTCCTCCCAGGTATCCCATCAGGCCCAGGTAGACCAGGTGGACCATCACGTCCCATTTGACCATCTGGACCATCATTTCCTGTGAGTGTACAAATTATAAGATCAATCATCTGACAGTGTTTCTAAATATTAACTCTTACATCTATTTATACTAAGTGATTATTAAATGAATTCCTAAACCTTACCCGGGAATCCTGGAAGACCTTGTGGGCCAGGGTCACCAGGTCGACCTCTGGGTCCAGGACGACCTTGACCCCCACCATCTGGATCTCCTTCTGGACCCTGCAATTTCATTTTTTTTTTAAATCTTTCTACATGTACTTGAATATTTAACTGAATTCTAAACACTAAAATTTTGTAAAATCAAAACTGCTTTTTTAATTCATTAAGAATTAAGAATTCATTGGAAATAAGTTTGGATAGTTTGTTTCTTATTTTGGAAATGACACAAAGAAATTGCTTCCAAATATTTCACATTTGGAATAAAGTTGTAAAGGAGTAAAACCATACATAATTCAAAAATGAATCACATGCAATTTTTGAGGAGAAAGGTTCACAAATGTGGGTCTAATTCTAGATTTTTCCAAAATGAGGACTGTACTGAGCAATTAATGTGATGCAAGTAATTGACTACTACTTTTGAAATCCATACATATGTATTAAAAAATTTGAATATCATTATAAAGATATTATGTAACATTGCCAAATAATTGTATTGTCATGGCAACCTACCGGATCTCCAAGGTCACCCCTCATCCCCTGAAAACCAGGGTCTCCAGTTCTGCCCTAAAAGCAGAGAAACAGCCTTAGGAAAGGTGACAATTTTACAAAATTTACCCTGATGAGAAGATTGTGACATAAGATCTAATTATAAATTTCTTATTCAGAACTCCATAAATAGTGTAAAATCTTAACTTTCTAGTCTATCAGTTATTGTTTGTTGCCACTCCTTTTACTAAAATCAAAAATTAGCCTTTTTGCCTTAGTTAATTTGAGGGGTGGATCTTACTGTTTCTCCTGGTAATCCATTATATCCTTGTCTCCCCTTTTCTCCCTGTTCTCCTTTCAAACCATAGGGTCCTGGTGGGCCGTCCTTACCTCTCTTGCCCTAAAAAATGGTCATAGAAACAAAATATCATATTATCACCATACCTAAAACATAAAATTAAAATCGCAATAAAAATAAGGGCAAATAAAGAGTCCCCCCCCCATCATTGCATACCCTCATTCCTTGCATTCCAGGCATCCCAAAAGGCCCTTTATCACCTGGCAAACCTGGAAATCCCTAAAAACAAAAATCCAGGTAAAAATCAATGAAAGCTACAGACTGTACATTATAAATCAAATCTATCTCTATGTTTTTCAGTTACATGTATTTCAAAAAATTGTTATATAAGATGAAATTAAATTTTTCTACTACAACTTATTAATGATTGTTCATGTCTATGGCCTTCAGTTAAAGGAATAATAAAAGAGCAGTTTTCAAGTTAAGTTGGATTGTTATGACAGAGAGAGTAACAGAAGGAAATATCCCACTAACTGGATCACCACTCATTCCATTAAATCCGGGTCTTCCAGGTCTTCCTCCCTCACCTGGGTCTCCCCGATACCCCTTTTCTCCCATCAGAATCTCGTCTGGTTTGTTTCCTGGTAAAGTTGTGATGGAGCCTTTAGGACCTTTGAGACCAGGTAATCCTACCTCTCCCTGAAACATACAGACAATCATGTAAATCATAGGTCAACACAACAGGTCAATTAGCCTGGAATTTTACACAGTTTTTAAATTTTCTTAATGATAAATTCAATGATTTACATTTGAACTGGTGACCAAAAAAAAACTAGCTAATGCCTCTTTAGCACTGGTTAAATAATAAAAGATATTTTGCATGAAATATTCTTAGACTATTTACATGTGCTATTCTTCAACAAAATTGTGGTGAATGATTATAATGCATGATATCAATTAATCTACAGAAGCACACCTGTGACTTCAACTACCAATGAACACTGACCTTTTCACCTTTGGGGGGATTTCTACCTTGGTCTCCCATGCTTCCCTTTGGCCCTTTACCTCCTGGAATTCCAGTCGGCCCCTAAAAATTTTACAGAAGTAAAACTTAATTAGAAAAGATACATTTTTATGACAAATGAAGGTACCACAATATTCAACTGAGCTACAAGAAAATTAGGAAAACTGCATCATATGAATACCCTCAAAAATATTCAGTACTACTTAGGACAATTTCTGTTCCCCCCACCCCACCCCACTTCTTAGATGGCTTCATTGATGGAATAATGAAGAGATACCATAAAGATCTAGCAAATTTATGTCAATATATTTTATTTTGAAAATATGGCCAAAGAAAACAGACCAAAAAAATTCCTCAACACTGGGACAGGTATATGTAGTTATTTTCTTTCATGTAGTTGTATTTCTAGACTTATGTTACAAGATCAAATAAAATTTATGTAGTTATTTTGATCCCTTCCTGCAGGAACTGTCCAATAACAATAAATGGTGCATCGTGACAAAAATTATCCCCCTTATACTGTATTCATTTATTATATCAAGCTTATTTAATATTTGTGTTTATATAATAAAAAAAGAGATTTATGAGCTGTAATTTGTTAAGCAATGTAGTTTCATTAAATTTGTCCTAAATAATATTAACTATAACATATATATAATCCTGTACAGGTATAGCAAACTATGGAAAAAAAACCTATTATTTTCCTTGTGAGATCCTGTTGTCTTCTGATAATTGTATATGTGTCATAATAGAAATTGACTGAACATTTCTTACCCGAGGACCTAGAGGGCCAAAAGGGCCAGGGAGTCCAGGTCGACCTGGAATGCCAGGATCACCCTAAAAATAGATATGTCCAAGATTCAATCATTTTCAGACATAAACTAGATCAATTACAGAAATCTTTATTATGGAAAAAATCTCTTAAAGTTAACAGAAATCTAAGCTTAGACCTTATCTAAATTTACTTGTTAAAGTTTCATTAAGATTTACATATCATTATATATAGTGTGAGATAACACATCTGAAATCCAGTTGTTATGGTGATGATACTTACACTAGGACCCCTTCGTCCTGGATTACCCGGATCACCTTTTGGACCAAATCCATAAAATCCATCTCCAGGATTTCCCTGTGGATTAAAACATATATTTTATTGCCAGAAAATACATATTAAAGCCGATTTTTTTAATTATCTGTGAACAAAATACAAAATTGTTTACTAAATCACTAAATCCAATCTGAGACTTGATCAGCCACTTTAGACACTTGTTACTGGTCAACATTTCCAGAGCACATGTGCTTTACAGATTATCATAATTAGATTGGAAGACATGTTTATGAGTAATTTCTCTGTCTGTCCATCAGTCCGTCTGTCTATCTGTCTGTCATTCTGTCTCTGTGTATAATACTTTCTGCCTGGACGATATCTCAAAAAGCCTTTGAGCTTTTGCAATGAAATTTACGCCCCAACTGCCTATGGCCTAAGGGAGACCTCTATTGATTTTGAGGTCAAAAGGTCAAGATCAGTAATTCATACATTGCAAGAAATGGTTTCCAGATGGTAAAATTACTTCTCTTTGAGCTTTTTCAATGAAGATTTATATCATACCTTCAAGTGACCTAAAGACAACCCCTATTGATTTTGAGGTCAAAGATCAAGGTAAGAAATTCATACATTAAAAAAAATTGATTTTCAGATGATCACTTTAGTTCTCATAAAGCCTTTTCAATTAAAATTCTATATCATTGCTCTTTGTGACATAAAGACAACCTGTAAAGGTTTTGAGGACAAACTGTCAAAGGTCAAAGTAAGAATCAATTATTGCCAAAAAAATGGATTCCAGATGATAATTTTAATTTTCTTTGAGCTTTTTCAATCAAATATTATTATATCATTACTCCCAATGACTTAAAGAAAACCCCTATGGAATTTTAGGTCAAAGGGTCAAGGTCAAAAATTCATATCTTGTAAAAAATAATGGCTTTCTGATGTTATCAAGTTCTCTTTGTTTTGCAGTAAAGTTTTATACTTTTAGTCAATATGACTTAAAGAAGACCCTTTTGAGAAAAGGTCAAATGCCAAAGTCAGAAATTAATATATTGCATACATAATTTTCTGATGATAATTTTAGTTTTCTGTAAGCCTTTGCAATGAAACTTAAGGTCCAGTAGCCCTTTTCACAAAAAAATATTAAGTTTTTGTATAAGATTTTAACTTAAGAATCTCTTAAGACAAATCTTAAGTGCTTTTCACGAACGCATTCGTAGCAGATTGAACTTAATTAGGATTTTACTAATGACAGACTTCATCCCTAGCAACGACTTCGATATGCTTTATAATCATTAAATGAGTGGGCGAAAATAAAAACAGAACTTAGTTTTCAACAATTGTCAGCATAACAAACATTATTGAGAACAAATATCGAATGCAATCGTTTGTGAAGCAAGGAAGTTAAAAATCTGACGTCATAATCACAAGTCTGACGTAAAAGTAAGTCATACGAAAATCTTAAGTGAAACTTACATCGTAAATATTTTGTAGTGTATTTCATTTGATTTTTTGAAATGACTGTGAAAAAAATATAAAATATTATTGTAAGTTGCTTTACAATGTTTAATTTAACGTGTATTTTGGTTTATGCAGTTATATTTTTACAATAAATTGGTTTTAAAATACTTAAGAGAGGGTTCGGACTCTCGTAAAGTTACGACAAATTTTGCACTTACGACTTTCTAAAGAATTTTTGTGAAAAAGATTTTTATCATAAGTTTTCACTTAAGATAAAAATATGTTGTAAGATTTTTTGTGAAAAGGGCTACTGAATTTCTTTAAATCAAGAATGACCCCTTCTGACTTTAAGGCCAAAAGCTGAAAGCTCAATGTCAATCTTTTTTTCTTTCTCAATTTGCATTTTTTTTCAGGTCTTCCTTGCTCTTCATATAACATGAAGCTGGGGACAAAAATTCCCTGAATTACCTTGTGATACTTTTGACATCAGTTATACTGCCTTGAAATTAATGCCAAATAGGGGTTGCTTGTGGGTGCAAATATAGTTGTAAAAACAAGAAGTCTGTGAGCCAATGCTCACTAATAATACCCCCGCTCTGATGTGAATACACAAGTTCAGTTATGGACAAACACAGTGATAACCAGGAAATTGACATCGGATTTGTAAAAACTGAATCCCAACATATGGCATGCCTAAACAAAGAAAAAATTTCAAGCATCTGCGATGAGTAGTTGCTGAGAAAACTGCGACCAAAATTTATTATGTATGGTATGGACAGACGCATGGATAAACAGGAAGTTGACATCGGATTTGTTCCAAAAATGAATCCTATTATATGGCATGCCTAAACAAAGATTGTGCTAAAATTTCAAGCATCTGCAATGAGTAGTTGCTGAGAAAACTACGACCAAAATTTGTTATGTATGGTACGGACAGACACACAGATAAACAGGAAGTTGACATCGGATTCGTACAAAAATGAATCCCACCATATGGCATACCTAAACAAAGAGTGTGCTAAAATTTCAAGCACCTATGATGAGTAGTTGCTGAGAAAACTGCGACCAAAGTTTGTTATGTGTGGTACGGACAGACGCACGGATAAACAGGAAGTTGACATCGGATTAGTACAAAAATGAATCCCACCATATGGCATGCCTAAACAAAGAGTGTGTTAAAATTTCAAGCACCTGTGATGAGTAGTTGCTGAGAAAACTGCGACCAAAGTTTGTTATGTGTGATACGGACAGACGCACGGATAAACAGGAAGTTGACATCGGATTCGTACAAAAATGAATCCCACCATATGGCATGCCTAAACAAAGATTGTGCTAAAATTTCAAGCATCTGCGATGAGTAGTTGCTGAGAAAACTACGACCAAATTTTTTTATGTATGGTACGGACAAACGCACGGATAAACAGGAAGTTGACATCGAATTCATACAAAAATGAATCCCACCATATGGCATGCCTAAACAAAGAGTGTGTTAAAATTTCAAGCACCTCTGATGAGTAGTTGCTGAGAAAACTGCGACCAAAGTTTGTTACGGACAGACAGACAGACGGACAGACAGACAGACAGACAGACACACAAGGGTAAAACAGTATACCCCCCTCTCCTTCGGAGCGGGGGTATAAAAAAAAAAAAGAGTAAAGGAAATGACAGCACAAGATGTCAACACCTTAAAACATGAATTTTTTAATATTTTGTTAATGTGTTGTTTCCATGACAACCTACCTTGGGTCCAGGTAAACCTGGTACACCCTGGGGCCCCCGATTTCCTGGCAGTCCATCAACTCCTGGGTTACCCTTTTGTCCCTGAAATAAACACAAATCATTTTTATTTCAATATTCTGTAATGATAGACTGCTTCGTGTCACTCATGCTTACAATAAAATTCTAATTAACCTTTGGAATTTCACACTTCTTCAATATCATGTTTACTACACCAATTTTTGATATGTAATATTTTGCTGTAAATTTGCATTGAAAACATTGGCTATCATATGCCTACTTTATTTTAAAAAAATTGCATTTTGAAATCTATGATAGAATAAATGTTTTTAGACCACCTCTCTATTTGTTTAATTACTATCCTCTTTGTCTTTCATTATATTAGTACTCAAAAGTATTTTTCATAATAATTTCCATTGCATGACATAATTTATTACATATTAAATAATTACACTATATCAAGCATTTGATACATGATTAAATTATTTTATACCTTTGTCCCATTACATCCGGGGTAACCCTGTGGACCCACAGGTCCCTCTAAACCTTCATAACCCTAGAACAAGAAAAAATGTTAACAATTTACACATCACTCTGAAGTCATAAGAATGACCAATATTTACAATTTCATATATAAATGTAATAATCATAAATAATGAAATGCTTTTTTTGGTGAATACTAGTATTAACAGTTGTGACACTGCAGAAAAATTTCATAGCCAGTTATATAGTTTTTTCCTGCAATGGTTGCAAGTGATAATCCCCATATTAACAAAGAAAGAAAGAAATTTTTTCTTTACATTTATATCTGTATAAATCATTCCTATAAAGTAGGGGAAATTACATTACATATTGTTTTATTGATCCACATCACATTGATGAAAGAGCCAAATCTTAAGACATGGCTTAAAAATAACAGATCTAACTTGAATTTAGAGTTATTTCAATTGATAAATAGCCATTGGTTTTCATAAGAGAGAAAGGCAAAAATAGTCAATAAGAATATTTCATACTAAATACAGTTATATTTTATAATGCTGAAAATAATGCTGTTAATGAAAAAAAAAATTAAATGTAGTTACCTACGACAATTGTGATTTACAAACGGCTAAAAAATATTATGTTAAATTGAACCCTTGAAGAAGAAATGTTCCAAAAATGGCTATATTTAAACAAGAATGTGGGTACAATTAAGACTACATGCTTTATAATTCAGAGTCAATTAATATCATACAATCGTGATGAAGACAAGAGCCAATTACCAGCACAACGAGAGATGACTTATAACAAGGGATGACCTACTATGTGTCACACCAGCAAGAACAAAGGGAGGTAATGTACTTAATATAAAAGGGAGCTAACTTTGTTCAGATTAAACAATAACAAGTAGAGTATAACTTACAATACTCTGAGTCATTTATTAGCACAAAGCGAGATGTCAGACCTATTATTATGAGTCACATAAAAGCCAGTCACTTAGAAGATTGAATAGAACATGTAAAATGGTGACTTACAGGGACACCTGGTACACCATTCATTCCTTGAGGACCCATGTCACCCTACAGAAAAAAAGAGTCATAAATTAATAGTGAATATGTCAGCAGCATTATAACTAAATACATCATTACAATATTCTAAAGTACTTAAATCTTTATAGGAAAAAAAAAATTCTTACTGGTTCACAATGAGGTTTAAAAAAATTGAAATTTCCAGTCTGATTATATAAATCTGTAAGCTTACCCTATTCCCTCTCTCACCACGACCCCCAGGCTCTCCTCTGTCACCCTTCAAACCTGGTACTCCCTGTGGACCCTCACGTCCTATGAATCCAGGTAACCCTTGGGAGCCTCTCAATCCAGGTAAACCAGGTGCTCCCTGAAATACAAAATGTATTTTTCCTCAACTCTGACAGCATAAGACAACTACGATTAGTTTCTGACTGGATAATTCCTGAATGCGTAAAATTAAAATGAAAGATGTCCTTACCCTGACTCCCTTTTGTCCAGCACACAAACATACTGTAGAGCTACAGCCCTTGCAGGCCTACAGAGGGAAAAAAAAGTTTAAAATCATGTATATTAAGGATACAAAAAACAAAAAATGCCATGGAAATCAGTAGATTCATACACTTGTATATTGTAATGGTATCCTGTTACTACCAAAAATTTTCTTCGAGGATTTTTCCTTGAAAACATCAGACATTTATGGTAAAAACAATTCAACAACTGGACAGTATGAGGCTTAATGAAACCAGTCTGGCCTATATTTCTGAGTAAGAATCTGGAATCTCTTCTCTAACTTTATTCTGGCCCTTTAGGTTAAAGGTAACCTTGTATAAACAAGCACACTTGGATCTGCACTATGTAATGACACTTTAACATACAAATACATACATCTTGCCAAATGGTTTTAGAGAAACAAATCTTTAATTAAGGACAATTACTTTTGTTGCAGTGTGGCCTTTCAATTCAATATTTCCTTTTGCATGATAAGGATGTTTGTGAAGTTTGGTAGACTTTAATTTCATAGTTCTAGTGAAAAATAAACTTTGAAAAGTTACCCCCCTCCCCCCCCCCCCTTCCCCCCCCCCCCCCCAAAACAAAAAAAAATGGTGAACTTGGATAAAATTTTTTTTAACTATTTATATTTGTTAACTTCTCATAAACCGCTGGATCAATTTCAATTAAATTTGCCACAAAAAGGAAGGCAATCCACTTTGTTCAATTGAAGGGTCATATCCAACATTACAACAATGACAAAATAGGCAAAATTAGGATAGTCATTTATTTTATAAAATCTTATTCTCAAGAAACACTGGTGCTGAAGAAACAAACATTTTGTGAAAGCTTCCCTTAACAAAGTCTATTCAATTTTGTTTTGATCATGGTCCTTGTGGCTATATATGACTGGGACCCAATAAGGATTATTCTAATCATTATTATATACATGTAGGAGTTTATAGGACATACAGGATTATCTTAAAACTTCTTCATCCCAGATAGTAAAATCAAATTGAATTATATACAAACATCTCCAAAATGTGTATATTCAAATCTATTCAAAATATTACCCCCTGGCTAATATTCTGGTAGCTTATAGATATTTAATTGAAAGTAAAATTAAGCTAATTAATAATCCTTGTGTTTATTTCTTGTGTATGTATGTGTGCAAGGGGGAAGTGTGTGTGTGTGTGGGGGGGGGGGGGTATAAAATATCCCATTCATATAGTACATAACAGTTAACTTCTTTACAATTAATAATATAAATATTTTTTAGTGGTTCAGATATTAAAATTAATGGGTTTTTTTTTTCCAAATTGTTTTCATGAAGATCTCTTGACATCTAAAAGTGAAACATCAGATCTACCAATATAAACGTTGTGTAACATAACACAGGTGAATAACACAATTTTATTTTTAACCATTTAAAAATTTGAAGAAGGGTGAGAAGGGGGAGGCGTGGGTTACGAAATCTATAAATCATATTCTTGTACTAGCTGAAAGTGTCTGACTATAAAGTGGTTGTATACTTCGTATTTACTGAGATATTCTAACGGTTTTTTTTACAATACAAAAAGGATACACATTCCCACAGAATAACATAAATGACGTTTCCATCTCGGATAACACTTTATGGTAAATCCGCCATGCTGACCGAATGGAACGTTTATTGAGAGAACAGCACATGGATGAAATTTAATTAGCAGGATATTAATTGAGTAGAAATTACCAAAACCCCAAAGTAAACAAATTTCAGTTATAGAATTTAATTAAAATTATTTGTAGGCATTCAATGAAATCTTCGTCCTTTTTCCACTACTTCAGCAATCGTCGTTGGTATCAGCGATCGCGACATTGGATTTAGAAACAGACTATACTTACGGCTCCAAGAGATAGATCCAAAGTGATTCCTAGAACCACCAAGAATAAAATCACATCCCGTGGTCTCATATCTCCTAACTCCGTCCCCTTGGTCCCACAGATAGGGACTGTCCTAACAACTTGGCTCTTCCGTCACCAATCTATCGTTCTTTAAAAAATCTTTCATAGAAGTTTAGCAGGACTTTGTGACCATCTTCCTGCAATTCTTGACTTCACGGCGGAGTTCGGCAGCAACCGTCAGAATCGGCACGATCCGCCTACTTTCAGACGAAAAAATCCCAAGTTTCCAATTACTTTCATATTGCAACTAAAGCACTATTATGCTTTTTGTGACTCATAAAACATTTTTGTCAAGGGTTTGCTTCTGTTGAACTATTCATAAAGGACTGTCTGACCACAAAATTTCTGAACTGTCGGTGCACTTCTTTTTCTGCGCGGAAGTGTTCGTAAGAGGTTGCTAGGTCTCACAAGAGTTTCCAAAATTCTTGGATGTCAATCAATGCAAATTTTTGCATGAATTCCCCCAAAATCCTACTCTATGTAAAGAGAATCCGCTCTTTGTAGAGGTCCAATGTCGCCAGACATGTATCTGCAAATCGGTCGCAATTTTTTTTAAACAAGCATATAGACATATGTGCCAGATGAGGTGATATAACACCAGGTGGGATTATCTTTTGTGTTAATCCGATTTACAGACAGATTATTATGCATGCGTCTTATCATCAGCATCCCATCGTAAAAGAATAAATTCCCTACTTATCTACCCCCGAGACCCTTATCTTTGAGCAACAAAGAAATTTCTCTGGTTTTGTAAAAACAGGCAGGCATTGTTTTATTAAGTTTGGTGGTATTCGAGTCATTTCCGCGAACATTTAAAAGCATTATTTTTCAACGTGAGAAATATTTACAAATTCTCCTAAACCCACGAGTCACTGAAATGTGATATGCAAGCTCCGCCTCCTCTCTCCAAATCGGAATCTTCGGCATTTCTTGGAGATTGTCTTCATCCGAAGAGAAGGGAGTTAGAGGATCGTAGTGTGTCACCACTCTGATGTTGTTGAGGACATTTTAACAGATTCAGAGAGGTGAACTGTCCAACTCTAGCTGAGACCCTCTCAGCTGCGGAGGAAAGAACGGCGTAACGGCCGTTCTGTGACCGAAGAAACGACGTCAGTGACAAAATCTGCCGATGCCACCAGAACGCAAGAATTGTAGTTGTGCGCCGTGCGCCGTCAGACAAGACGGTGTAAACCAAAGTGCTTTCAAATCTTTTAGAATCTCTAGAGCCATGAAGTCATGGTAAGTACTACTATTTTTCTAATATCATTTTTATAAATGAAGTTTCTCGATATCGATAATTTTTAATTCACGAATTTCTTGCTGGATTTGCTGTATCTGCAAGCTGCTTCTCGATTCGAATCACCTATAGTCTGTTTCACTTTTCTTGTTGCAGGCTCCTACTCTGTTTAGCTACCTTATATTTATCAAGCACAGTTCAAGTATATGCTGTAAGTTAATTTTTATTTAATTTCTCTTCATATTATATTCAACATATAGCAATTCTACTTTTATTAACTTACCAAAGTAGGGATTTTATAAAAAAAAAAAAATCACACCAAAGTAATAGGTTTTTTTTCGGAGAGAGAGAAAAAGGGGGGGGGGGTAATAATCTTAAGTTTGTGTCAACTTTTTATTATTTCAATTTTACAGATCCACTAAATGAGTTTATGGCAAACTTGCCACAAAAATCTACAGATGAATAAGATAGATTTATTCAACTGAAAGACATTAATGCTGTTTTAGGGAAATCAGTTTAAAATAAATGAAAAATTTAATATTGAGTTATTTTAAACCATTCTTACTAAGAACCTCTATTTAGAAATTAAGTAAAACAGAGCAAACTTTCATAAATCTGTGTTTAACAGTCATATTTTATTACATAGTTCAAACCAATGAAATATCACCTGGATATAACATTATGAATATAGTAAAATCTTGACTTTCTAAGCAATTTGTAACATTTATATTTCATTGTATTACCTTGATGTTTGAGCTTGATTACTTTTTAGAAAAGGTGTCTGGATTTAGATTGGGGCATATACATATATATATATATTTTTTTTTTACACATGTATACATAAGAAATGAAGTATGATCATGATGATGTAAAGATTTTAGCTCTAAAAATCTGAGATGATTGCAAACATCTAATGTCTAAATGTTGAGAAATTAAATACATAAAGATCATAACACAGGACTCCTTTGAATTTCATCAAACATGCTGTATACCAAAGATGTCACATACACTATATTAATAAAATGTACTTAATTTACCAGTAATCATATTTTAGAGTTTTTTTACGGTGCTTCTTGTCCACTAATTATAATTGTACATGCTAATACATAATAACAACCAATACATGTTCTTTTTAAAACTTAAGTGTGCTAATTTATAATTGCACCAAAATGTTTTTGATGTAGCTTTCCAGTTACAGAATATAAAGTCAAAATTTAATATTCAAATCTTGTAAATATTTCAAAGAAAACATATCATTTTTATGTGTTGTGTTCTTTCACACATGCTAACATATTTTTTACAATGAATATCATGTTGAATTTGCATAATTTTACCATGTATTTTTTTTAGCTCACCTGAGCGGAAGGCTCAAGTGAGCTTTTCTGATCAAAATTTGTCCGTTGTCTGTCGGCGGCGGCGGCGGCGTCTGCGTCGTTGTTGTCGTAAACTTTTCTCATTTTCATCTTCTTCTCCAGAACTACTGGGCCAATTTCAATCAAACTTGGCACAAAGTATCCTTGGGTGAAGGGGTTTCAAGTTTGTTCAAATGAAGGGCCACACCCTCCTCCAAGGGGAGATAATTACGAAATAGCAAAAAATTAATGGCATTATTGAAAAATCTTCTTCTCAAGAACCAGTGGGCCAGGAAAGATGAAACTCATGTGGAATTATTGTCAGGTAGTGTAGATTCAAGTTTGTTCAAATCATGACCCCCGGGGATAGGGTGGGGCCACAATGGACAATCAAAGTTTTACATAGGAATATATAGGAAAAATCTTCAAAAATCTTCTTCTCAAGAACAGCAAAGCTATGATTGGTCATATTTATTTGGAAGCATCCTCAGGTGGTGTAGATTCAAGTTTGTACAAATCATGACCCCCGGGGGTAGGGTGGGGCCACAATGAACGATCAAAGTTTTACATAAGAATATATAGGAAAAATCTTCAAAAATCTTCTTCTCAAGAACAGCAAAGCTATGATTGGTCATATTTATATGGAAGCATCCTCAGGTAGTGTAGATTCAAGTTTGTTCAAATCATGACCCCCGGGGGTAGGGTGGGGCCAAAATGGACGATCCATGTTTAACATAGGTGTACATAGGAAAAATCTTCAAAAATCTTCTTCTCAAGAACAGCAAAGCTAAGGTTGTTCATATTTATTTGGAAGCATCCTCAGGTGGTGTAGATTCAAGTTTGTACAAGTCATGACCCCTGGGGATAGGGTGGGGCCACATTGGACGATCAAAGTTTTACATTGGAATATATAGGAAAAATCTTCAAAAATCTTCTTCTCAAGAACAGCAAAGTTATGATTGGTCATATTTATGTGGAAGCATCCTCAGGTGGTGTAGATTCAAGTTTATTCAAATCATAACCCCCAGGGGTAGGGTGGGGCCAAAATGGACGATCAATGTTTAACATAGGTGTACATAGGAAAAATCTTCAAAAATCTTCTTCTCAAGAACAGCAAAGCTATGATTGGTCATATTTATGTGGAAACATCCTCAGGTGGTGTAGATTCAAGTTGTTCAAATTATGACCCCCAGGGGTAGTTTGGGGCCACAATGGATGATCAAAGTTATACATAGGAATATATAGGAAAAATCTTCAAAAATCTTCTTCTCAAGAACAGCAAAGCTATGATTGGTCATATTTATGTGGAAGCATCCTCAGGTGGTGTAGATTCAAGTTTGTTCAAATCATGACCCCCGGGGGTAGGGTGGGGCAACAATGTATGATCAAAGTTTTACATAGGAATATATAGGAAAAATCTTTAAAAATCTCAAGAACAGCAAAGCCACGGTTTGTCTTATTTATACGGAAGCATCCTCAGATAGTGTAGATTCAAGCTTGTTCAAATCACGACCCCCCCCCCCCCACTCCCTTTTTAGGGGTAGGTTGGGACCACTTATGCATTTATGCTTTTCAATACTAAACTGATTTTTCCTTTTTTCCTAGCCACAGTGCTCAGGTGAGCGATCTGGCCCTTGGGCCTCTTGTTTTAAATTGCCGCAAGGAATTGTTACATCAAACCCAAAATGCCTGCATCATTAGGCCTAAATAAAATTGCTTGATTAAGTATTTGCTAATTTATTTTGTTTTCATTAGAAGAAAAAAAATATTTTGAAGGTTCAATGTAATTAAACCCTTAGTTTTTTTTTTTTTTAGTTTTTTTTTGTTGTTGTTTTTTTTTTGTTTTTGTTTTTGTTTTTGTTTTTACAAAAAAAGAACCCTACACAGGAGCCTGAGCTCTCGATTGTCTATATTTGGGACCATTCAAAGGCCCCATTCCCAATTCAAAAAAATGTACCTTTTCCCCCAATTGAATGTGTTAATTTCCCCAATTGTCACTTCCCCCCAAGATTTAAGAACATATAGTTAGATATGTAATAACTCAACTTGTTATTCATATTCCTTTATCTTGAAAAACAGAAATTTAGTTGATAACAAACACCAGGCACACAAGTGTGATAATTTTAAGAGCAATTCTCTGTATATGACTTTAAATTTTTTATAGGAGGCATGCATAGTCTCAAAATTTCTCCAAAATCTCTATGTTGAAAGTCTCTGATACGGTTAACTCAGATCAGGTAAAAATTGGTTGCTATGTGTCAAGGTTACTATGGCAACATAGCCTAAAGTTTGAAAAATGGCATTTTTCAACATGTTCAGAGTCCTATAGTTAATGTTTACAACAATGCAAACAAGTGGCAATGATTGTTTCCAAAAGTTGAATGCCTGATGTCTTTTAGGCATGATAAATAAATTTGGGAAATTAACAATTATTATGTTACTATGGAAACAAAGTATGCAAAAGTATTTATTTTATTCATTTTTATAAAGTCATTTACTCATAAATAAAAGCAATTATAGGTTGAACAGAACATTTCTATTTAACCGGTGATCAATTTTTAAAGGCGTTGGTGTGGTCCTAATTTTCACATGAATTTAAAAAAAATTCATACTGAATTTTTTAAATAGAATGTTGCTATGGAAATAAGCAGAAAAAATATATATATAAAGCTGACAAATATTTTGTTTCCTTGGAAGTACCCTTATGTGTAGATCCCAAAACTGTTATGACTGATATTTATGAACAACTTACCTGACTTTCAGTTATCTCTAACTGGATGCAAGAAGCTGCCACGTAGGGTTTATTATTGCTTTGAAGTTAACAAAATCGAACATTTTCCCTTCTTGGTAACCATAGCAACAGTGTTATTTTCTTCATCAAATATATGACAGTCAACTTTAGTTCTACCATATAAGTATTATTCATTTCAATATGTTTCTTGATTAAAAGGTAACTAAATTCCTAAAGCAACAACAAAATATCATTTTAAACCACTGGTACATTGTTTCCATGCTAAGTATCAATTAATTCTAATTTTTCTAATGCTATCTGTGTTATAAAGTCCTAATGATGTATATTTGCCAGTCTTGAATTTTTTTTCCCTCAAGGTAGCAACATTAACCAGAACTTAGCAACACATTATGTATGGCTACACTGTGTTACCATGACAACCAAAAAAAAAATTATTTTCAGAATAATATTGCCAGCTAGTACGTAATTACTTAAGGTCAAATATATTTATTGTTTTTCTTGAGTGGTTGGTTGAGTTGATCATATAACACCTACCAAATCACCCATGGTCACCACTTACTTAGAGACATATTCTATATAGCTTCTTTATAGCATAAGTGGCAACAAGGTGTCAGGTTTTTGTGAGAATGGTTTGTTTGTTTTTCAAAGTCTTTACTAAGGCTCAATAATGATTCAAAGTAGCTGAAAATCTCAATTTTTCAAACTTTTCCAGCTGTTACTATGGCAACCAAGACACATAGCAACCAAATTTTATTTGATATATGTTTCTGGTGTCAAGTTGTAATAATTAATGGGCAAAGTTTCATCAAAATGTGTGACCATTTGTGAAAAAGAAGTTTGAGTGGTTACAGAGAATAGCGTTTAATGTGTAATGATTTTCCAAAATTCCCTTTAAGATCATCAATTTTCCCAATTTTGATGGCCCCAGCCCCAGTCCCAAAAAGTATGTGTGAGCCCTACCTACTGTATCTTGTCAATACAGAAATCTCTCAGGAATGAATTTGTTCTTATTTCTCATGGATTCTCAATTGCTCATTGCACCTTTGGTTATGATAAGTAAAATCATTGCCTTTGCCGAGTTGTGATCAACAAGAAGGAGTTTTCAAC